ATTTAACGATAATTCTCTTTCAGAGGTGAATAAGTGACAGACTATTTCTTGCAAGTTACACTATGTGATGCAAGAATGATACGTCATATAAAATTTTCATCATGTTTTTTTTCTCTCTCTCTCTCCTTCTCTCTCTCTTTCTCTCTCCGTTTTCGCTCTCCCTCTTTCTCTCTATCCCTCTCTCTCTTTCTCTCTTCGTTTTCGCTCTCTCACTTTTTCCCTCTCTCACTTTTTCCCTCTCTCTCTTTCTCTCGCTCCTCTCCAACTTTCTCTCTCTCACTTTCTCTCTCTCCTCCTCTCTCTCCTCTCTCCCTCTTCTCTCTCTCCTCTCTCTCTCTTTCTCTCTCTCTCTCTTTTCTTTCTCTCCCCTCTCCCTCTTTCTCTCTCCCTCTCTTTCTCTCTCCGTTTTCGCTCTCCCTCTTTCTCTCTCCCTCTCTCTTCTCTCTCTCTCTCCCTCTTTCTTCACTCCCTTTCTCTCTCTCTGCTGGGTAGTAAAGACAGCGGGAACTGTAACATGATTTTGTTGTGAGGTAGTCTGTAAACTGTTTGACTGGTCACGCCTAACCTCAGAGTCAGTCACAGACGACATACCACGCCGGGTTAGCAGGTTCAGAACAGCCGCCTCATACATCGCCTATTGTTCAAGCCAGGGCATTGAGAGCAGATCTTAAGTCTCACGAGTGATAAACTTTATCTTCTTGCTTGGTCCCACTATTGATCTCTTGCTGTCCTCGACATGGCATTAGAATATGAGGCATTTGTTTGATGTCTTTTTTTATATGTTGCTTTCTGTGGGCTCATTTCAGAGACCAGTTTTTTTTATATCTGAAAGGTCAGCTATATGGTAGAATCAACCGAGCTGTTTTGTAATGTGTTGAATATGAAGGTTTTTCTTCCATCGTGGCTATTGATGGTGTTCGACAAGCATTCATACATGTAGGTGGTTTTAGTGAACCATGTACGTTCATTTACCATGGTCCTGTCACAACTTTGTCGAAGTGCTACTACAAAAGCTCTAACCACGGCCTCTTGAAACTGTCATGACCAGAAAGTTTGTTTTAGTCACTTTAAACTTGTTTTTGTATCTGTCTCCTTAATGTTTATAATATGTAACAGTGCATGGGTGACTTTAGTGAGTGGGTGGGTTGGTTTTACGCCTTTTTAGCAAGACTGCAGCAGTATCACGGCGGGGGACACCAGAAATCCGCTTCACACATTGTACTCATGTGGGAATCGAACCTGGGACTTCGGTGTGGTGAGCGAACGCTTTAACCACTGGGCTACCCAATCGCCCCGGGTGAGTGAAACGCCGATTTGAAGGTTTTTTTCATGGCTTCAACTTGATGTAGGATGGAAGCTAGAGGTGATGCAACTCCAGACGTTTTCCACGAAATAGGTAATCTGACAATTAATGCTTACCCAAGTTACACAGACACATGTCTCACTGTGGATTAAATATACTTTGATTTGGAGACTGGAAATAGCAGACCAACCGTCAAGCACTGGCCGCCCGGCTGTGTTGTGTCAAGTAATAATCACGTGAACGCGTTCCAATATGACCCCGGGGAGTAGGGTGACCTGGGGGGACATGGGGATGACTCCCACAGGCAAGTAAGTATCTTGTTTATACATTCCTCCACGAGGTATATTAACGCTATCAAGAGAAATACATTTATACGATATAACTAAATGCGTGTGATCAGGTGCGTGTCCTATTGAGAGTTATAAGATCATCCCACGCAGTTTTAATGTAAACAGTAGACTTGTAGTATCTTTGTTTACAATGGTTAATACGTGAGTGACGTGTTTGGCTGTTTATATGTGTACACTGACTGTACATGATAGCACAACATGGATAGCACCATTGGTGGGTGTATACCACTGGTGGGTGGGGTGGATTTATAACACTGGTGGGTGGGGTGTGTGTACTTCAACACGCGGGAGCGGATGGGCGGGGTGGATATAACTTGACTTAGTGGGCCTTTGTCAAAGCGTAATGACGCCAGAAATATTAAGGAGGGGGTTAAATAAGTCAGTGTAAGATAAAACCTTAAGTGTTTAAGTTTAAAGACATACATTCCAAGAAAACCCCAATGGACCGCCTCCAACCCCCCCCCCCCCAAAAAAAAATAAAATAAATAAATTAATAAAATAATAAAAAAATAAAAAATAAAATAAACAAAAAAATAAAACAACAACAGACCAACCACAAAAAGGAGAAAAAACAACTAAAAACAACTGCAGACAAACAAAACAACAAACGGAAAATTATTGTAATTGTAAAAATGTTGACTTACTTAAAGATATATTCTTTTGCCAAATGAATCCTATATGCTATAATACTATGGAGTTTGCAAGTTTCTCCAGTTAAGTGCTGATTCACATATCTCATTCTGAACCTACACTAGAGATGCTGTACCTGTTCAGGGGAAAATAATATACGTTGTGCACCGGTCTCGAGGGGCGTGAGTCGACGTACCCCCTTTATTACTTAACGTTCATAAACTAACATACAGGGCACATCAACCCATGTACCCGGAGGGACCAGTGGACAGCGAATGTTTCTTACCGCAGACCTAATTATATTGCAGGTACTTCTAATGGGTGCATATTTTAATCCGAGTCGGTAAGGATACCACAGTTAGGCATTTGTCCACCTACTTAAGAGTTATTCCCCCTAGATCTGTTTCATTCACATTCGTCACCACTCGTCCCTTTCCGTAACCTGCAAGAAGACTCGTCCCCCTATCGATGAATGTTATGTGCGAAAATACGACAAACCAATCAGAATGCGCGTTTGATTTCAAGTTGTTCATCAAAGAATCCCTCAGAAATATTTTTTGATTTTACATATGTCTTCCATCTAAAAATATACCCAAGACACAGTTAAATGTATTCAATCATACTGTATAATTCCGCATGCCCCGACGTGCTTTAAATTGCATCTATATATATAATATATGGGGAAATTTATGTGAACCATTACGCAACAAGTTGACAATTGTTTTAGGTATGCCCGTTTGCGCTAAGACCGAACTCGGTCGCAAAAATGTCCATGAGAGGGGCACGAGTCGCTATTCGGCTTGTCCCGGAATAACACGAGTTGGTCACGAATGGTTTCATTCAGTACATATCGTAAATGTTCGGAGAATGGCGTCTAACGTCATTAATTCGAGATACAAAACTTTGGCCGGTATATTGGAAATTTAACGCCATCAGTTCGGCAATTCAAGCGGGAAACACAAGAAATTTACTTTACATTTAGTAGCGTACATTGAAAAAAATAGATTTTGTCTCAGCCAATGTGAATCCAACATTTATGTGTACGGTAAGATAATGAGGATATTGACTTGAACCTGCAGTACAACAAGCTGCGTAAACCTAATCACTCCTCGTGTTTAATATATCTTTTAATGGTGATGTTTCTATCGTTTCAGGAGCATTCGTTTCGAAAACATTCAAAACAGCAATGGCAACACATGATGAATGTGCAATGGTAATGAAAGACAAGTTCCAGTTTTCTCACGACAGAGGTCGCGAACACAGAGAGGAACGTCAAAAAATCGCTTTAATACTGTATCTCAGTCAAACAAACTCGCAACAGAAGTAGATCGTTACTAATATATTTTCATTTTTTTATCTTTCACCGTGCCGGGGTAGAATAGATCTTCAGCAACCCATGCTTGCAGTAAAAGGCGACTAACGGGATCGGGCGGTCACGTTCGCTGGTTGATGTATGTCATTGTATCCCAATTGCGTGGATCGATGCTCATGGTATCAATCACTGGATTGTCTAGTCCAGACTCAATTATTTACAGTGCTACCCCAAGGAAATGTCCGAATAATGTGATATTAAACAACGCATGTCACATACATTTCAGTTGTATCGAACTTTAAGCCCATGTGGTCTCGCACGTGCACCACTCGGCTACAGCGGCGCTTATAAACCACAATGATTTTAAGAGCAAGTGATATTTTACGTCCCTTTCTTAAGGTTCACTGAAAGTGTGTTTAAAACATAAATTTGACAAATGTCGTTTCATACTTTCCTTTGTTTATAACTTGGATAAATACCTCCTCCTTGATCTCCTCCTTGATCTCCTCATTGATCTCCTTCGTCCTTCCCCGATTTCCATCTTCCCTGGGCTTACATTCCCAGTCAAGACTCGGCTCTTCAGGGGTGAGTTAATTTCCGCATATTATCAGAAACACATGATCTCGTATCAGTTGATCTAGTGTCATGTTGGATCTTGGCTGGTCGCCTGAGGCTCGGGAATTCTTGCGTTGATTTTCATACAATTCTTACTGCTATTTTGCCTTTATTGAAAATGAAATTTGTTTCGTTGGATAATCGAGACTGGTTATACTCTGGCGTTGACGTTTTAAATTCCCGTATGTGCCTGGATCAGCTGATACTACCTGTACAATCAGCTGATACTACCTGTACAATCAGCTGATACTACCTGCTGATACTACCTGTACAATCAGCTGATACTACCTGTACAACCAGCTGATACTACCAGTACAATCAGCTGATACTACCTGTACAATCAGCTGATACTACCTGTACAATCAGCTGATACTACCTGTACAACCAGCTGATACTACCTGTATAATCAGCTGATACTACCTGTACAATCAGCTGATACTACCTGTACAATCAGCTGATACTACCTGTACAATCAGCTGATACTACCTGCTGATACTACCTGTACAATCAGCTGATACTACCTGTACAATCAGCTGATACTACCAGTACAATCAGCTGATACTACCTGTACAATCAGCTGATACTACCTGTACAATCAGCTGATACTACCTGTACAACCAGCTGATACTACCTGTATAATCAGCTGATACTACCTGTACAATCAGCTGATACTACCTGTACAATCAGCTGATACTTACTGTACTATCAGCTGATACTACCTATACAATCAGCTGATACAATCCCAGATGTTTCCGGTTTATACAAATGTAATGAGGACATTCAGACTTAATAACGTCGAAGGTTTTATTCAGATATATCAACAATCTTGATGGACCCGTATCATATGTCATATCGGCCAGCACACTGGTTTTCGGAAAGTATATCTGAAAAATAACGTGACTTCTTTAGTGGCTTTGTGTGTGTGTGTTAGTGTGTGTGTTAGTGTGTGTTAGTGTGTGTGTTATGACAGACTTCGTTAGTGTGTTCGTTGTGTTTGTGTGTGAGTGAGCAAGCGAGTGAGTGAGTGAGTGAGTGAGTGAATGAGTGAGTGAGTGAGTGAGTGAGCGAATGAGTGTACGTGTGTGAGTGAGTGAGTGAGTGAACGTGTGTGTAATTTGCATGTAATTTATGTAGTTTATTCATACCATACTTGAGATCTCTGTAAAATCGAAACAATGCAATAGAAAAAAGTCTAAGGCGCCGCGACTCGCTGCGCAGAGTTGCGTCCCTTGGGCGCAAGAAACCTATGATTGTGGGTTCTAATCCCGGTTCGCCCCGATTACGTTTCTAGGTTTGTCAGCACCATACCCGTGCTCGTGGGTTTCACCGAAGTGGTAAACGTCTGAGACCTGCATCACTTCGGGCTTTCCTCCCACGTGAAGCTGACACGCCGTGATACGCGTTAAACACAACTCACTCTCTCACTCATAATAGACTGGAGATTGAATACCCTTGGTATTCGAGGAGCCTTTTCGGCCATTTCCCAAACTCACTGTACTCGCACACAGCGTTATTCCTTTACTCCAACTGCCCCGGATATACTAGCATATCTTAGTTGTAATAGCAGAGTGGTAGCTCTTCAGGTCATAGAGTCACCGGGTATATATCCAGTACAGCCGTAACTTGTTGGCATTTCTCAATAGTGTTACCTTGATGGCATTTCTCAATAATGCAATCTGGTGTAGAGTTTCCTTGTTGGCATTTCTCAATATTGTAGTCTGATAAAACGTTTCCTTGTTGGCATTTCTCAATATTGGAATCTGATAAAACGTTTCCTTGGTGGCATTTCTCAATGTGGAGTCTGATAAAACGTTTCCTTGTTGGCATTTCTCAATATTGTAGTCTGATAAAACGTTTCCTTGTTGGCATTTCTCAATATTGTAGTCTGATAAAACGTTTCCTTGTTGGCATTTCTCAATATTGGAATCTGATAGAACGTTTCCTTGTTGGCATTTCTCAATATTGTAGTCTGATAAAACGTCTCAATATTGGAATCTGATAAAACGTTTCCTTGTTGGCATTTCTCAATATTGGAATCTGATAGAACGTTTCCTTGTTGGCATTTCTCAATATTGGAATCTGATAAAACGTTTCCTTGTTGGCATTTCTCAATATTGGAATCTGATAAAACGTTTCCTTGTTGGCATTTCTCAATATTGGAATCTGATAAAAAGTTTCCTTGTTGGCATTTCTCAATATTGTAGTCTGATAAAACGTTTCCTTGTTGGCATATCTCAATATTGTAGTCTGATAGAACGTTTCCTTGCTGGCATTTTTCAATATTGTAGTCTGATAAAACGTTTCCTTGCTGGCATTTCTCAATATTGTAATCTGATAAAACGTTTCCTTGCTGGCATTTCTCAATATTGTAATCCGGCATAGCGTTACCTTGTTAGCATTTCTCAATATTGTAATCTGATATAGCGTTTCCTTGCTAACATTTCCCATTAATGTAATCTGGCATAGCGTTACCTTATTAGCATTTACCAATACTGCTGATGGTGAGATGAGGTAACCCACATTTTCCCTTGTCAAACTCGCATCTGGAAGTAAGCAAATTTTCATGCTAATGTTTCGTATCACATCTGTTGTTCATTCAAAAAAATGTATAACCAAAATTTAATATAACTCTTCATGTTGTTTCTACATATCATTTTAAGAAATCCTTATTCAGCTCGATTTAAACATCACTTGAGTTCTTTGGGCGGTCATCTAATCGAATTCGCCCTGGTTCTGATGTTTGTGTTGCCGTGTTATACCCGTGCTGGTGTGTTTCATCGAAGTGATAAATGTGAGCGACCTGCATTATTATTGGCTTTCGTTCCAAATTAAACTGACATATCTAAAATATATATATTGCTCAAAGTCTCGTTAAACAGTTCTCTCGCAGTCACAATAGCACTGAAGTATAAATGTACGTACAAGTTGGAATAGGTTTTCCCATCGCTGCCACACACCAGCTCAGTTTCTGGCGGACAAGAATAGTTCTTCACAGTCTTGCATATGATATCAAAAGCCGTTGGCTTACATGCACCCCTGTTCTTGATATTCAGCGATGGCATTTTGCACTTTGCAACTTCGAATGTACACCTGAAGCATAATGTCATAAATGTATTAATATACATCATTCTTAAAATCAGTTTTATAGACACACGTATGTGAAACTATAAAAATAATTTACACTTTAATTGTAAATGGTATAGTCTCTACTATATTTAAACCGCGTTGTGAGTCACATAGTCCATTAACGTTAACAAAAATACACTATGACGTCATCTACTCGGATGTATATGTTAAACCTACAATGGTATCTGCATACTGTCAACAATGATACACTATGACGCCATCATTTCTCTGATGTATATGTTACACCAACAATGTTATCTGCATACTGTCAAAAATGATACACTATTACGTCATCTACTCGGATGTTTATGTTAAACCTACAATGGTATCTACATACTGTCAACAATGATACACTATGACGTCATGTACCCTGATGTATATGTTTCACCTACGATTGTATCTGCATACTGTCAACAATGATACACCATGACGTCATCATTTCTCTGATGTATATGTTAAACCTACAATGGTATCTGCATACTGTCAACAATGATACACTATGACGTCATGTACCCTGATATATATGTTTCACCTACGATTGTATCTGCATACTGTCAGTAATGATACACCATGGCGTCATCATTTCTCTGATGTATATGTTAAACCTACAATGGTATCTGCATACTGTCAACAATGATACACTATGACGTCATGTACCCTGATGTATATGTTTCACCTACGATTGTATCTGCATACTGTCAACAATGATACACCATGACGTCATCATTTCTCTGATGTATATGTTAAACCTACAATGGTATCTGCATACTGTCAACAATGATACACTATGACGTCATGTACCCTGATGTATATGTTTCACCTACGATTGTATCTGCATACTGTCAGTAATGATACACCATGGCGTCATCATTTCTCTGATGTATATGTTAAACCTACAATGGTATCTGCATACTGTCAACAATGATACACCACGACGTCATCATTTCTCTGATGTATATGTTAAACCTACAATGGTATCTGCATACTGTCAACAATGATACACTATGACGCCATTATTTCTCTGATGTATATGTTACACCAACAATGGTATCTGCATACTGTCAACACTGATACACTACGACGTCATCATTTCTCTGATGTATATGTTAAACCTACATTGGTATCTGCATACTGTCAACAATGATACACTCTGACGTCATCTACTCTAATGTCTATGTAACACCTACAATGGTATCTGCATAAAATCGACAAAGCTCCAAGAGAGTAAAAAATATTTACCACATACGTACATATATAATTTGTATTAACTGCACGATTTCCACCACTTCCACAAGCACAACGCTGAATGATAACTAATCCTAAACAAATTGGTTGATTATGTTTAAATTAATTACGATTCATAAAAATGTTTGTCACAGGTAAAATATCTTTTGAGAGGCATTACAGTAAACTACGGTTATAACGAACACGCTTATAACGAAATGACGGATATAACGAACTTACTTTTTGGTCCCGACTACTTGCTGTAGTTATGCTGTATATGTGCATATAACGAACTACGGTTATAACGAACTAAAATTAGAAGTCCCTTTGAGTTCGTTATAACCGTAGTCTACTTTACTTAGAAGTTGACGGGTGACAAAGTAGACACACATTATGGATAACAACTTCTTTAATTACTATTAAGGCGACGTTTCGGTATGGATCCTTATACCGTTGTCAAGCAGGACTGAATGAATATATATGTTCTCTGACTCATAGCCTTTTTTACCTGGAAAAGTAGTAAGTGTTCCTTCTAATAAAGCAGTTGACATCCATGAATTCTCTCCATTACGTGTACCACTTCTAAATGCCATTCAAAGACTTGAAGCAAAACAATATGTGTCCTGTATCACAGCTCCAACTCAAGGCGACAAGCTATAGTATTGGCAAGTATTACAGAGTACTTACATGTTGTCATATGTTTCCAAATCTGTTCCACATACTTCCTCCTTTAGATCTGGACATGTTGCGCTGGTTAGTACTTGGCATATAGCACTGAGAGTGACTGGGCTTGTTGACATTGTAGCTATAGGTCCCTGTGTAGTTAGCTGACTGCTTGGGGAGGGTGTCAGGCAAATGCTGTTGGTGACCTTTAGGCTCGGGTTGAGACAATGAGCCTTTGAGAACAGACACCTTGATTGACAGAAATAGTTACATTGAAATGACTTTGTTAAAAATCGGTACCTTTAGGCTCGGGTTGAGACAATGAGCCTTTGAGAACAGACACCTTGATTGACAGAAATAGTTACATTGAAATGACTTTGTTAAAAATCGGTACCTTTAGGCTGGGGTTGAGGCATTGAGCCTTTGAGAACAGACACCTTGATTGACAGAAATAGTTACATTGAAATGACTTTGTTAAAAATCGGTACCTTTAGGCTCGGGTCGAGAAAATGAGCCTTTGAGAACAGACACCTTGATTGGCAGAAATAGTTACATTGAAATGACTTTGTTAAAAATCGGTACCTTTAGGCTCGGGTTGAGACAATGAGCCTTTGAGAACAGACACCTTGATTGGCAGAAATAATTACATTGAAATGACTTTGTTAAAAATCGGTACCTTTAGGCTGGGGTTGAGGCATTGAGCCTTTGAGAACAGACACCTTGATTGACAGAAATAGTTACATTGAAATGACTTTGTTAAAAATCGGTACCTTTAGGCTCGGGTTGAGACAATGAGCCTTTGAGAACAGACACCTTGATTGACAGAAATAGTTACATTGAAATGACTTTGTTAAAAATCGGTACCTTTAGGCTCGGGTTGAGACAATGAGCCTTTGAGAACAGACACCTTGATTGACAGAAATAGTTACATTGAAATGACTTTGTTAAAAATGCAGTTGGATCTCCTGGTCAGCAAGGACATCCACAATACCACGTTGGTGAACAGAATGTGTCACAGTGTAGTGAAGCTGAACTCACTGTTTAACGTGAACAGCGAGTCCCCAAGTCTCCGAAGAATGTTGCAAGTTTATGAGTGGATTAGAACTGAACTGATAATTTTTTGGCGATGGAAGTACTGAAGAGTTCAGTACATGACGCTTTAACATCCAAAGTCAATTAGGCATCGTATGTGAGGCAAATTTGATTAAATAGCGGTTTTGTGTATGTGTGGTTATTCCAGAATGTTTTATCTGTATTTAGAAGGCGCTTAACAGATATATATTTTCAATCATGGCACCATAGTTTTGAGTCGTTTACTTTTTTAGCCCATAATGCTAATATAAGATCTCTTCTGCAACCCGAATTATGCATAAGAGTACTCAGAGACAGAACGAGTAATAAGAGCAATGTGTAAATTTCGAATTTCTCTACACAACCTTCGTGTCAACATTATTCGTAAAAGGCCATTGTTAAAGAACGCGACCTTCATTTGGTGAAGGATGAATACCATGTAGTTTTTGGTATGTAAGAAATATGTTCATTTTTTTTTAATCCCAGTACAGAAATATTACCAAGGTAATATTACGTCTGCAAATGTACTTAAATGATGTGATATTAATGTTCTACGCTTGATAGCTTTATATTTATGTAAATTATTTAAAATGAGATCGACAGATATATAACACTCTGGACATGTGACTATCATATTATTCATCTTACAACTGTACTATGGGCCATGTGGCATGAATTACGAAATATGATTGATTGATTGATTGATTGATTGATTGATTGATTGAGACACGCTTCGTACACATTTCAAATTCGTACAAATTGGGAATGCTTATCTGTAGCATTACGCAAATAATACTTGTTTTAAACATATTCATTTTACAGAATGTATTACGAAACTGGATTTGTTTCTTACTCTGTTGCATAATTGATCCCGTCTGAGGCACATATATTCTTCGTTGGGAAGTGACCTGATGAACAGTCAAGCTGCATGACGACTGTCTGACAGACACTTTCAAAGATGCCCGCCTCCGACACGCCAGCTGCAAGACGATGGAGATGAAGAACCGTAGGATGATTACACATGGAGGGAGGGGGTCACGGGTGGCCCAGTCGTCTAAGGCGCCGCGATTCGCTGTGCAGGGTTGCGTCCCTTGGGCACGCCAGAAACCTATGATTGTGGGTTAGCCCCGATTAGGTTTCTAGGTTTGTCAGCACCATACCCGTGCTCGTGGGTTTCACCGAAGTGGTAAACGTCTAAGACCTGCATCACTTCGGGCTTTCCTCCCACAGTAAGCTGACACGCCGCGATATGACTGGAATACTGTTAAAAGCGGCGTTAAACCCAACTCACTCACTCACTAATTACACATGGTGACTACAGGATACATGCACGCAGAGGTAGAATTCATTGGGAATAGTAGTACAGATAAGTACTGATTCTGATAATAAACACTGATCAGCCACAGAGGTAGCAGACATAGGACACAACAGCCATAGGGGTTGTACACGTTGAAAACACACAACCATAGGGGTTGTACACGTTGAAAACACACCACCCTAGGGGTTGTACACGTTGAAAACACACAACCATATGGATTGTACACGTTGAAAACACACAACCATATGGATTGTACACGTTGAAAACACACAACCATATGGGTTGTACACGTTGAAAACACACGACCATAGGGGTTGTACACGTTGAAAACACACAACCAAAGGGGTTGTACACATAGTCCAAGCAATCTCGGCCATTTTTTCACTCAACGTGAAACAAATTGCAACAGAATTTGTTTTACCACAATTCATTTCAACAAGGTCCCAAACACAACATACTAAAAGTCCCAAGCAATCCCAGGGTGGGAACTATGTCTAATTTGCATAACGCTCTATTGCACAGATCTGATACGGCAACCTGTTATACGTGGAATATACTAGAACACACACAATGCCTTATTGCACAGATATTATACGACAACCTCTTATTCCTGGAATATACTAGAACACACACAATGGTATATTGTACAGATATTATACGGCAACCTCTTATACCTTGAATATACTAGAACACACACAATGCCTTATTGTACAGATATTATACAACAACCTCTTATACCTGGAATATACTAGAACACACACAAGGGTATATTGTACAGATACCATACGGCAACCTCTTATACCTGGAATATACTAGAACACACACAATGCCTTATTGTACAGATATTATACGACAACCTCTTATACCTGGAATATACTAGAACACACACAATGGTATATTGTACAGATACCATACGGCAACCTCTTATACCTTGAATATACTAGAACACACACAATGGTATATTGTACAGATATTATACGGCAACCTCTTATACCTGGAATATACTAGAACACACACAATGCCTTATTGTACAGATATTATACGGCAACCTCTTATACCTGGAATATACTAGAACACACACAATGGTATATTGTACAGATATTATACGACAACCTCTTATACCTGGAATATACTAGAACACACACAATGGTATATTGTACAGATATTATACGGCAACCTCTTATACCTGGAATATACTAGAACACACACAATGGTATATTGTACAGATACCATTCGGCAACCTCTTATACCTGGAATATACTAGAACACACACAATGCCTTATTGTACAGATATTATACGACAACCTCTTATACCTGGAATATACTAGAACACACACAATGCCTTATTGTACAGAAATTATACAACAACCTCTTATACCTGGAATATACTAGAACACACACAATGGTATATTGTACAGATATTATACGACAACCTCTTATACCTGGAATATACTAGAACACAGACAATGCCTTATTGTATAGATATTATACGGCAACCTCTTATACCTGGAATATACTAGAACACACACAATGCCTTATTGTACAGATACCATACGGCAACCTCTTATACCTGGAATATACTAGAACACACACAATGGTATATTGTACAGATATTATACGGCAACCTCTTATACCTGGAATATACTAGAACACACACAATGGTATATTGTACAGAAATTATACAACAACCTCTTATACCTGGAATATACTAGAACAGACACAATGGTATATTGTACAGATATTATACGGCAACCTCTTATACCTGGAATATACTAGAACACACACAATGGTATATTGTACAGAAATTATACAACAACCTCTTATACCTGGAATATGCTAGAACACACACAATGCCTTATTGTACAGATATTATACGACAACCTCTTATACCTGCGAATATACTAGAACACACACAATGGTATATTGTACAGATATTATACGACAACCTCTTATACCTGGAATATACTAGAACACACACAATGGTATATTGTACAGATATTATACGACAACCTCTTATACCTGGAATATACTAGAACACACACAATGCCTTATTGTACAGATATTATACGGCAACCTCTTATACCTGGAATATACTAGAACACACACAATGCCTTATTGTACAGATATTATACGGCAACCTCTTATACCTGGAATATACTAGAACACACACAATGGTATATTGTACAGATATTATACGACAACCTCTTATACCTGGAATATACTAGAACACAGACAATGCTTTATTGTATAGATATTATACGGCAACCTCTTATACCTGGAATATACTAGAACACACACAATGGCATTTTGTACAGATATTATACGGCAACCTCTTATACCTGGAATATACTAGAACACACACAATGCCTTATTGTACAGAAATTATACGGCAATCTCTTATACCTGGAATATACTAGAACACACACAATGGTATATTGTACAGATATTATACAACAACCTCTCATACCTGGAATATACTAGAACACACACAATGGTATATTGTACAGATATTATACGACAACCTCTTATACCTGGAATATACTAGAACACACACAATGCCTTATTGTACAGATATTATACGGCAAACTCTTATACCTGGAATATACTAGAACACACACAATGCCTTATTGTACAGATATTATACGGCAACCTCTTATACCTGGAATATACTAGAACACACACAATGCCTTATTGTACAGATATAATACGGCAACCTCTTATACCTGGAATATACTAGAACACACAATGCCTTATTGTACAGATATTATACGACAACCTCTTAAACCTGGAATATACTAGAACACACACAATGCCTTATTGTACAGATATTATACGGCAACCTCTTATACCTGGAATATACTAGAACACACACAATGCCTTATTGTACAGATATTATACGACAACCTCTTATACCTGGAATATAGTAAAACACACACAATGCCTTATTGTACAGATATAATACGGCAACCTCTTATACCTGGAATATACTAGAACACACACAATGCCTTATTGTACAGATACCATACGGCAACCTCTTATACCTGGAATATACTAGAACACACACAATGCCTTATTGTACAGAAATTATACGGCAACCTCTTATACCTGGAATATACTAGAACACACACAATGGTATATTGTACAGATATTATACAACAACCTCTCATACCTGGAATATACTAGAACAGACACAATGGTATATTGTACAGATATTATACGGCAACCACTTATACCTGGAATATACTAGAACACAGACAATGCCTTATTGTACAGATATTATACGACAACCTCTCATACCTGGAATATACTAGAACACACACAATGGTATATTGTACAGATATTATACGACAACCTCTTATACCTGGAATATACTAGAACACACACAATGCCTTATTGTACAGATATTATACGGCAACCTCTTATACCTGGAATATACTAGAACACACACAATGGTATATTGTACAGATATTATACGACAACCTCTTATACCTGGAATATACTAGAACACACACAATGGTATATTGTACAGATATTATACAACAACCTCTTATACCTGGAATATACTAGAACACACACAAGGGTATATTGTACAGATACCATTCGGCAACCTCTTATACCTTGAATATACTAGAACACATACAATGCCTTATTGTACAGATATTATACGACAACCTCTTATACCTGGAATATACTAGAACACACACAATGCCTTATTGTACAGAAATTATACAACAACCTCTTATACCTGGAATATACTAGAACACACACAATGGTATATTGTACAGAAATTATACAACAACCTCTTATACCTGGAATATGCTAGAACACACACAATGCCTTATTGTACAGATATTATACGACAACCTCTTATACCTGCGAATATACTAGAACACACACAATGGTATATTGTACAGATATTATACGACAACCTCTTATACCTGGAATATACTAGAACACATACAATGGTATATTGTACAGATATTATACGGCAACCACTTATACCTGGAATATACTAGAACACAGACAATGCCTTATTGTACAGATATTATACGACAACCTCTCATACCTGGAATATACTAGAACACACACAATGCCTTATTGTACAGATATTATACGACAACCTCTTATACCTGGAATATACTAGAACACACACAATGCCTTATTGTACAGATATTATACGGCAACCTCTTATACCTGGAATATACTAGAACACACACAATGCCTTATTGTACAGATATTATACGGCAACCTCTTATACCTGGAATATACTAGAACACACACAATGGTATATTGTACAGATATTATACGACAACCTCTTATACCTGGAATATACTAGAACACAGACAATGCTTTATTGTATAGATATTATACGGCAACCTCTTATACCTGGAATATACTAGAACACACACAATGGCATTTTGTACAGATATTATACGGCAACCTCTTATACCTGGAATATACTAGAACACACACAATGCCTTATTGTACAGAAATTATACGGCAATCTCTTATACCTGGAATATACTAGAACACACACAATGGTATATTGTACAGATATTATACAACAACCTCTCATACCTGGAATATACTAGAACACACACAATGGTATATTGTACAGATATTATACGACAACCTCTTATACCTGGAATATACTAGAACACACACAATGCCTTATTGTACAGATATTATACGGCAACCTCTTATACCTGGAATATACTAGAACACACACAATGCCTTATTGTACAGATATTATACGGCAACCTCTTATACCTGGAATATACTAGAACACACACAATGCCTTATTGTACAGATATAATACGGCAACCTCTTATACCTGGAATATACTAGAACACACAATGCCTTATTGTACAGATATTATACGACAACCTCTTAAACCTGGAATATACTAGAACACACACAATGCCTTATTGTACAGATATTATACGGCAACCTCTTATACCTGGAATATACTAGAACACACACAATGCCTTATTGTACAGATATTATACGACAACCTCTTATACCTGGAATATAGTAAAACACACACAATGCCTTATTGTACAGATATAATACGGCAACCTCTTATACCTGGAATATACTAGAACACACACAATGCCTTATTGTACAGATACCATACGGCAACCTCTTATACCTGGAATATACTAGAACACACACAATGCCTTATTGTACAGAAATTATACGGCAACCTCTTATACCTGGAATATACTAGAACACACACAATGGTATATTGTACAGATATTATACAACAACCTCTCATACCTGGAATATACTAGAACAGACACAATGGTATATTGTACAGATATTATACGGCAACCACTTATACCTGGAATATACTAGAACACAGACAATGCCTTATTGTACAGATATTATACGACAACCTCTCATACCTGGAATATACTAGAACACACACAATGGTATATTGTACAGATATTATACGACAACCTCTTATACCTGGAATATACTAGAACACACACAATGCCTTATTGTACAGATATTATACGGCAACCTCTTATACCTGGAATATACTAGAACACACACAATGCCTTATTGTACAGATATTATACGACAACCTCTTATACCTGGAATATACTAGAACACACACAATGGTATATTGTACAGATATAATACGGCAACCTCTTATACCTGGAATATACTAGAACACACACAATGCCTTATTGTACAGATGTTATACGACAACCTCTTATACCTGGAATATACTAGAACACACACAATGGTATATTGTACAGATACCATACGGCAACCTCTTAAACCTGGAATATACTAGAACACACACAATGCCTTATTGTACAGATATTATACGGCAACCTCTTATACCTGGAATATACTAGAACACACACAATGCCTTATTGTACAGATATTATACGACAACCTCTTATACCTGGAATATAGTAAAACACACACAATGCCTTATTGTACAGATATTATACGACAACCTCTTATTCCTGAATATACTAGAACACACACAACGCCTTATTGTACAGATATTATACGGCAACCTCTTATACCTGGAATATACTAGAACACACACAATGCCTTGTTGTACAGATATTATACGATAACCTCTTATACCTGGAATATACTAGAACACATACAATGGTATATTGTACAGATATTATACGACAACCTCTTATACCTGGAATATACTAGAACACACACAATGGTATATTGTACAGATATTATACGATAACCTCTTATACCTGGAATATACTAGAACACACACAATGGTATATTGTACAGATATTATACGGCAACCTCTTATACCTGGAATATACTAGAACACATACAATGCCTTATTGTACAGATATTATACGGCAACCTCTTATACCTGGAATATACTAGAACACATACAATACCCTTTTGCACAGATATTATACAGCTACCTCTTATACCTTGGTGTCGCTGTACAAAGCGACCTTAGCCCACAGGTGATCCCATACCTTAACATAGACTAACGATAGTCGTAGCGCTGAGGTTATTTTGTACAAGGGCACCCTGCACTATAATACGCCATAGCACAGAAACCACAATCACAACATATAACTGGATGTATATTTGCATTGCACAAAAACTATTACGAAATTCTCATTTCTCGGCATGGCGTGTTGTCTTAAATCAAGCCATGGCTTCTTTGTATTTGACCGTGCATGAACTCACTGTTAGGTCCCCACACCGTGGAAATGGTCACGTCATCGCCATCGGCGTTCCGTTACCTGGGGTTCAACTGACCCTTTCACTGGGGGACACCAGAAATTGGTGTAAATGGTAAATTGGTAGTGTAAATGAAACCAAGTACCTGATATTAGCATCCATAGAATAATACGTTGCAACATCATGACTGTCCAAGTGAGCTTCGCTCGGTATATGTCACGTGGGAATGAAACTGAACAGACTTCAGATTACAGTCCAGCCTTAGATAAGACTTCCATAGGTCAGGTGAAACATAAGATTATGGTATTATGGTATTACCCGTGCCAATGAATAATGTAAATACGTGGTTAGTATAAACCATGATGAAATAGGTGTTGATGACGTGTGGAGTACGTCATAGTTTGTGAACACGAGCGAGTGGGTTGGGTTTTACGCCGCTTTTTAACAGTATTCCAGTTAGATCACGGCGTGTCAGGTTAATGTGGGAGGAAAGCTCGAAGTGATGCAGGTCTCAGACGTTTACCACTTCGGTGAAACCCACAAGCACTAAGGGAACTTGAGAGTAAATGGGGGGGGGGGGGGGGGGGGGGGGGCATGACGTGTCTTTTAAGGTACACTCGAACATCATCCTTCTACGAAGATTTCAAAGAGCGTCATAAGACTCTCACCCAAACGTTGTTTGATCAGGCTTACAACATTCAAGATCTCAGTAAGGCTTTCAAAACGTTTGATGGTAGACACCTGGTGTTTGATTCATAAACACATGCTCATAATATAGTTGGAATCGTACAATCAACTCTGTTTTATTTTACAAAGATTTCTTATTGATAGGAAAAGGGTTTTGTAATTTTTTATACTTGTTAAGAGTGTGGTATACTACATTTATAACGAACTCAAAGGGACCACTGATTTTAGTTCGATATAACAGTAGTTCGTTATAAGCATATATACAGCAAATGACCGGGACCAAAAATATTCTCGTTATAGCCGTCAGTTCATTATAAGCGTGTTCGTTATAAACGTACTTTATTTAATGTAATATTTTATCCACACCATGATTCGGTAATCCGGAAAATTTCATTTGGAACGATGCCGCACTGACTGACGTGGTCTCACTGTATGTAGCAGATGTTGAACACTCGTGCAAGGGACGTGTACGCACGGAGTGATAAGAAAAAACTGGGCCAGGTTAAGGCCAGTTTCCATGGAATGAAAATACAGTCTTCCCTTGTGATAATGCTATGTTTTTCTCAGAACTAATTTCCTCTGTGCAAAATACCCTGTTAAAATGCCACCCTTGTTATAATGCCAATGACCTTACTGTTTTACTGTCCTTTGACGACAGAAATTTTAATATAATCAATTTGTTCTCATTGCGATATGGCTGCAATATTGCCGATGCGATGTAAAATTATAACTCACTCACTCACTCACTATAATGCCAATACCAATGTATTCAGAACATACGTTCCAATTCCCTTGTTATAATGCCATTTTGTTTTCTAATTTTTGACAAAAAATTGGCAAGGTAGTTACCCTTTTGGACATAACTCTCTTCTACAGTAAAAAAACAAACTAATTGCATTGATCTCAGTTATTCTCATAGCCTATCCTTACACAGAGTATCATTCACTTTCTAAAAATAACAAGCAAATTATGATTGGAAATGCCTTTTTTTATTTATTCCTTTATATCATTTCAGTAAGGTCTGGTTTTCAACGTCTTGGTTATAATGCCCCCCTAGTTATAGTGCCATATTTTACACTAGAGGAACGGTGGCATTACTACCAGGGAGGACTGTAGAAAGATTAACCTATCATTTGGGCATTCACCCACGCACGTAATACAAAGGCGTTCCCTATATATATGACAAAAGCAGGAATTTTCTTAACTTGAAATATGCACAATTAGTGTGTGAAAACATGTATCAGTTAGTGCGGTATGGTATATTAAGGTTCTACTACACCAAATGAGAACCAGTTTGGACAGTGCGGTAGCCTTCAGTGTAGATCGAGAGATATCTGCAGGCTGTGATTGGAGGATATTCTGTAAGATTTTTATGTCTTTCAAATGTACATCCATCCAGTTATTAAAACTGACCATGTTTTTCTATATTTAGTACTGTCTTTTTCAACATGATGACTTATGCTGAATGTGACCACAGCTATTTTCAAGTAGGTGACATTTGGTGCGAAACTGGGGGTGGTGTGTTTAGCTTCCGGTACTCGGAAAAGGAGCTGACTAAGCTAGTCATTTTTATTTTTTTTATTGCTGCTCTAAGGCCAAACTGTGCACACACATACAGGTAATAGCTGTTGAATGCTTAGTTATTTAAAAAAAAATCATAACGTTACTATAGAAGTCTATGGGAAAACATTTGGTTGTGTGTAACCTTAACAACCTTCAGTTATCTTAGGTTTCTGTAGTGTACTCATCATCAGTGCATCAAAATGCTTCCTAAACATAGGCTCGATGGTCGTTATGTAAATATACAGTAAACTACGTTTATAACGAACACGCTTATAACGAACTGGCGGATATAACTTACAGGTTTTTTGGTCCCAGCCATTTGCTGTATATATGCTGTATATATGTTTATAACGAATTACGGTTATAACGATCTAAAATTAGTGGTCCCTATAAGTTCGTTATAACCGTAGTTTACTGTAAATCAATTTTTCATTTAACAACATTTAAAGCAAAGACAACCCGGAAGCTGTAAGCAACCGTAACAATTATTACAGACACATCCTCTTTTATACATCCAGGTTACGGGCCTCCAAACTTGCCCAATGCCACATTATCGTTCCTGATTGTTATTTTGTAGTGAATATGTTAACATATTTTGTGAAATAAATTATTATTATTATTATTATTGTTATTGTTATTGTTATTATTATTATTATTATTATTATTATTATTATTATTATTATTATTATCATCATCATCATCATCATCATCATCATCATCATTATATACGATCCACGCCGTCGGGGTACGTTGACATGCCAGTCTACCCGATCCACCCGATCCATGTATGCGTCTCTTACTACCGGCATGGGTTGCTTGGGACAAATTCAAACTCAGAATCATAATGGGTCTGTTCTACCTTATCGGAGGGCTTTGGGGGTAGCTCAGTGGTTACAGCCACATGGGTACAATGTGAGAAGCCTATTTCTGGTGTCCCCCGCCGTGTAATTGGTGGGATATTGCAAAAAAGGGGCGTACAACCTAACTCACTCTCTCACTCTCATCGGCACTTGTTACACTTAAGTAAATAATAATAATTTATTTAATTATAGATTTCTAAAACGCATCTTATCCAGATAGTCATATGCTCTTTTGAAGAAGATGGTCTTGAGTGTGGACCGGAAGCTGCTGACAGACTTGAAACTTCTGACATCCTTTGGAAGCTTTTTAAACACAAGATATGTTAAAATGCTAAACGTGTTTAAACTCTCAAAATGTTTAGATCATGGTGATGTTGTGTTTAGGTGGCGTTTATACTGAGGCGACAGCTCATATCATGTGTTTTGACCCAAAACGTGTTTAGATAGATCTCATCAAATGTGTATTTCGTTTAGGATTTAAACACATTCTAAACAAGGATATTTCCAAATTTGACGCATCAGTGACAAAAAAATGACTTATACCATATGTTTACGTGTTTTTGCAAGTGAACAATTGTCTTGCCTTTGCATGTATTTGTGACAGGTGCCACCGGTAGGGCAGGACAGGCTCACCTTTTCGCGAACAGCTGGTATCATCACTGTTGAACAGTGAATCATGGACACATTATCATGATATAGTCGGAATCGTACAATGGACTCTGTTTTTAGCAGACATAACTTATGAATATGGAAAGGGTTTTGTCGCATTTATTTACATTCTAAACACGTTTACAGTTTAGCTCAGAGAAGCTCTTAAAATGGCATGCTAATTTATTTCTAATAACTTTAAACATCATTTGCCACACTAGGATCTCGGGCAGAAAAAGGTCCTAAGCAGCCTATGGTAAAAGTAGGAGGCGACTTAATGGATCAGGTGGTCGATTATTCGTCATATTGCTGGAGTATTGCTGAGTGTGACGTTAAACACACACACACACACACACACACACACACACACACACACACACACACACACACACACACACACACACACACACACACACACACACACACACACACACACACACACACACAGAGGCACACACACACACAGGCACACACACACACACACAGGCACACACACAGGCACACACACACAGGCACACACATACACAAACGAATACACAAATACACACATGCATAAACACAAACACTCACTCAAACACACAGAGACACAAACACACACACACAAACAGATACAGACACACACAAAACACACAAACACACACAGAGACTGGCACAGACAAACACACACGCACACGCAAACACACACGCACACACAAACACACACACACACGCACACACAGACACACACATACACACACATACAGGCACACACACAGAGACACACACACAGACACATACAGGCACACACACAGAGACATACATACACACACAGACACACACACAAACAGGCACACACAGACACACACACACACACATACAGGCACACACACACAAACACAGACACACACACACAGACACACACACACATATAGGCACACACACAGACACACACACATACAGGCACACACAAACACACACACACATACAGGCACACACACAAACACAGACAGACACACACATACAGGCACACACACACAAACACAGACACACACATACAGGCACACACACACAAACACAGACACACACACACATACAGGCACACACACACGAACCAAGACACACACACATACAGACACACATACATACAGGCACACACACACAAACACACACACAAATACACACACAAACACACACACACACATACAGGCACACACATACACAAACGGATGTGTATATAATATATAAAGGAACATAATTTATCAAGTGCTATCTAGGTAAAATTAGTAACCATGATACGATAACATAAGAGACAATCTACAAAAATTAACAGTTACAATATTACACAAATCAATACAAATGACTAGGGCAAGGGCTTCTACTGAAATGTCAACTTTTAAAGTTACATTGAAATATTGTATGAAAATCATTAGACATGTTAACCATGTCCGTTGTCTTTATTTTACTTGATGTTTTTGGACCGCAAGATTTTATTATATTTGCAGAACGTTCGTGACCCATGATGACTATATTGCCACACGTTTATATTGTCATAATGTGGGTCTCCTGCTCATGTTCATATGTTACTCTCTCACTCACACAAATATTATGACAACGCTTCTTAAAATTAATATAAACCTCTTGACAAATTCCAGCCTTACCAATAGATATAGGGTTGTTATAATAGCCAAGTGGTTATAAGAACATTGTCTAATTCGTATTCTGCTGAGTGAGTGAGTTGGGTTATTCCAGTTATATCGCGGCGTGTCAGCTTAATGTGGGAGGAAAGCCGAAGTGATGCAGGTCTCAGACGTTTACCACTTCGGTGAAACCCACGAGCACGAGTATGGTGCTGACGAACCTAGACACATAATCGGGGCAAATCGGGAATCGAACCCACCATCATAGGTTTCTGGCGCGCCCAAGGGACGCAACTATGCACAGCAAACTGGGCCACCCGTGCTCCCTAATCATATGAAATTAGATGACTTTCAGCTCATTTCTTAAATTATGTAGTGGACCAAATATTGTCCTTATCGATATAATTCCTTGTCCTGTTTTTAGGGATTCTCTTCAGACAGTTATTTTAACCCTATAAATATATATGAAACCTGAATCAATTTTCGGTTAAATATTATGCATTTGTCTTTGTGAATACCAGGGTTCAACCCATGCTTGCCGTAAAATACGACTATGCTTGTCGTAAGAGGCGACTAACGGGACCGGGTGGTCAGGTTCGCTAACTTGGTTGATGCATGTCATCGCATCCCAATCGATGCTCATGATGTCAATCACTAGATTGTCTGGTCCAGACTCGATTATTTACAGACCGCCGTCATACAGCTGGAATATTGGTGAGTGCGGCGTTTAACAACAAACAAACAAACAAACAAAACCAGGGTAGTAATCCCCTCATGGTGATGATGTATGAACAGCATCCGTGGTGTTGTGGATGAAGCGCCTGCTCTGAGAGCGGAGGTCGGTGGTTCGATCCCCTGGTCGCGTCTTACCGAACGACGTTAAACGTTGGTACCAATAATATCCTTCCTCTCACATATAGATAGTATCAGAAGCAATATAATGTACAGGAAGCAGCCATAAACACTAACTAAAAATAGCACAATCATTTGCCTTGCAAACCTTAATTTGGCCTTGCAGTGCTTGCACGCAGACCCGGGCTTTAATTCCTCTTGGTTAAAACGTGTACTAAGTATTGACGGTATCCCCGCTATAATATTGCGAGGATGCTAAAATAGCGTCCATAAACATCATTATCAATCGTGATTAAAAGTTGTACATTAAGGTGAGGTGAAATGGGGTTTAACGTCCAAGATTATTGCACTTATAAACCAACGTGCATGTACATGTGTGTTTGTGTGGCTGCTTGTTCTGGTCCGGACTAATGCCGATTTATAGTGCTAGCACACTGAGATACCATGCCGCAGTTTAACATGAATACCCCACTCAGACACAGTATACTGACTCCGAGCCGACCAGTCCTTGTTTTAGCCCCTTAATGCCGAGCGCCAGACAGGGTAACAACAAGTACCATCTTTTAACGTCGTTTGGTATGACGCGGTCGGGGATCGAACCCCGGACCTTCCGCTCTCCGGGCGGGCGCTCTACCACCAGGCCACGGAGGCGGTCTTGTACATTAAAACACCATCTGAGTACATATAGCCTCTATATGCGCAGGGGATTTGGGGTAGCCTAGTGGTTAAAGCGTTCGCTTGTCACGCCGAAGACCCAGGTTCGATTCCAAACATGGTAGAATGTGTGAAGCCTTTTTCTGGTGTCCCCCACCGTGATATTGCTGGAAAAGTGCTAAAAGACAATACTCACTCACTCTATATGCACACATCTCATATGCCCACTACCGTCAATATTGTGTACATCGCATTCTAATTGAACACCCGGTGTCATCACTGATTTTCACTGATCCATTCACATAATTGTCACCTCTGTTTCGCCAGATAATCGAGATCGGCGTTGACGTGGCGTTGACGTTGTATATGCCGGTCGAACGAGGTGACTAAATATACATGGGGTGACCAAGCTAGGTGACTTGGTAAATACGCATGTCATCGTGCCCCGTCGGTCGCGATGTTGCTCATAATATCAACCAACGGTTTGACTTGTCAGAACTCGAGTTTTTAAAAGCCGCCGTGTAAACATGTATATTAATGAGGGTGGCTTTAAACAACAAACAAATATTGCGACGGACATTACGTCATTGACGCTTGATCTATTCATCGAATGCGTGAGTGAGTTGGGTTTAACGCCGCTTTCAACAGTATTCCAGTTATATCGCGGCGTGTCAGCTTAATGTGGGAGAAAAGCCAGAACTGATGCAGGTCTTAGACGTGTACCATTTCTTTGAAACCCACGAGCACGGGTATGTTTCTGACAAACCTAGAAACATAATCGGGACGAACCGGGATTCGAACTCACAATCATAGGTTTCTGGTGCGCCCAAGGGACGCAACTCTGCGCAGCAAATCGCGGCGCCTTAGACAACTGGGCCACCCGTGCCCCTTTTTCGGATTCGAACCCACGATCGTTACATTAGACGACTGGCATGGCCCACTCGTGCTTCCTATATTCTTCGAAAACGATGACAAACGGTAATGGTACAATTATGCCATATCGCAAAGCAAATATACTCAAAGTGTCATGGACAACTTGTCCTCACCTATCTTAAACATGAGCTATTTTACAGACTGTATGAAGCTAAGTAAACCAGGGGATCAGTTCCGAAGTCGTCATGGCGTCTCTGGCGAGGTTTCTCACGTTCTCCCTCTTCTGTATCATCAACACGAGTGTCGCCAAGGATGTTCTGAATGCCACTGAATTGGGAACTATTATAGGCGAGACACGGTCAATGACGGAGAACCTAACCGAACGCATGGATGCAATGGCAGCGATATTTGGAGAAAGTCTGAGATTGATGAAAAGTGCAGATGTGAAAATGAGGCAAGCGATGGGGCAAAGAGGCGGGCCTGTACTCGCGGACAACAAAACAGACGCTGGTAAGACACATTTGACGAGTCATAGTTGAATAGCACCTGGATACGTAAAATAATGGGACGTATTTACATGTGACCCACCGGGTGATAGAGGAGGACAAATCATGGGTGAAAAATCATATTTTTACTTTTTATTATATTTTCAAACTACAGTATCGGCAAATAACAATCAAGATACGTGACATAAAACATTTTCCGACTAATAACTGTTTATGCCATAATTAAAGATTTTAGACATAATGTCTGATGAATTGAAAGTAGATATGCATGCTGGGAGATTTTGAAATGATGTTTTTATTCCATTACGAACTAACGAGAGAAAACTAAGTTATGTTCGTACAGTCCCCCCATGGCGATTTTTCACTGACGTAATTGACGTCAAACGTCTTTATGACGTCACAGCAAAGTTGTATCCTAGCACCCATAAGGTCCCTTGTCTCCTGGGTTACATGTTTCTAATTGAGGACTGTAATTTGGTCTGATTAAATCACACCTTTGTCTTCAGATGTCTCCTAGTGTTTTGTTTTTTAATAAATATATATGGGTTATGTAGAAAAACAAACACAAAGACAAATGCATAATATTTAACCGAAAATTGATTCAGGTTTCATATATATTTTCTATGTATTATTTCAATTTCAACATTATTCTTTCATCATTTGTTTGTCTGAATGTTGTTTAACGCGGCTTCTAGCAAAATTGCAACTCTGTCACGGCGGCCTGTTATCCTGACCAGACAAATCAGTGGTTGATACCATGAGCAACGCCCCGACCCACCCGGGTATGATGACATGCTATCAATCAAGGCATCGACCTATCCACCCGATACACCCATACGACAGACATACGTAGCTGGGGACCTCATCTAACCTGGAATCCCCTTGGCGCTTTGATTGCTCTTCGCATGTGGCCTATTGTTGGAGACGCGTTTTTGTTTATTTATTTGTTGTTTAACGTCGCATTCAGCAATATTACAACTCTATGACGGCGGTCTGTAAATAATCGAATCTGGACCAGACAGTCCACTGATTGACATCATGAGCATATATCTACGCAATTGGGATACGATGACATGCATCAACCAAGTCAGCGAGCCTGACCACTAGATCCCGTTAGTCGCCTTTTACGGTAAGCATGGGTAACTGAAGACCTATAATTCTAACCCGGATCTTCACGGACGGGCATCACGACTTCAATTGCAGAATTATGTCCCTTAGCCGGGCCAGAATTCGTTTACACGGGTTTGAATCACAAACGTCTGATTAACATCTTGTAACACCTCATAAACAGAGGAAACGTTAGGAATACGTTTTGCTCGTGATTCTGTCAGATTGGGAGCCAACTGGTCTAAGGTGCGACCACAGATTGGGAGCCAACTGGTCTAAGGTGCGACCACAGATTGGGAGCCAACTGGTCTAAGGTGCGACCACAGATTGGGAGCTAGCTGGTCTATGGTGCGACACACTTCAGTCATTGTGATATCGAATCCTAGACCATTTCCTAACAGCGACATACCCGTGCTCGTTGTAAACGTCCACGACCTGTGCTACTTTGCAGCAAATAGCTGCAACACAGCTGATGCGGTTGTAATGTAATATTTAATTGCTCACCTGCTTTCTGCACGCAAAGAATGGTACGTCTTCCCGTATATAACAACAAACATTTGGCTTGTTCTTGGAGTGCCCGACACTCAAACATGTGTTACCTTTCGTAACCTTGTTATTTCTCTAAATGCCTCGAAAAATGCCTCTGTTAACCAGCAGTGAACGGGTACCCGGTAGGAAATATGACTATTGACATTCTAGAGTCTCATATGGCAGATTAGGTTGTATACCCTCAGACTAGACCATCGTAATTACGTAGCGATTTGAAACAGACTTCATGAGATATGGCGCATCCGAAATACACACATTATTAAAGCTGACACGCCATAAAATATTTGAACGATTATTTAAAACTTACTCACTCCCTTTATTATCTTTCAATTATTATCTTCACAGTACATCCAGGCGGGGCAATCTACACACGCTGGGGGCAGCACGTGTGTCCAGAAGGATCCGATATAGCGTATACAGGTGAGGAGTGGTCCCAAGTCTTTTATTTGTCAGAAAGTGTGAGTAAGCGAGTTGGGTTCAAAGCCGCTTTTAACAGTATTCCAGTTATATCACGGCGTGTAAGCTTAATGTGGGAGGAAATCCCGAAGTGATGCAGGTCTCAGACGTTTACCACTTCGGTGAGACCCACGAGCACGGATATGGTTCTGACAAACCTAGAAACATAATCGGGACGAACCGGGATTCGAACCCACAATCATAATTTTCTGGCGTGCCCAAGGGACGCAACTCTGCACAGCGAATCGCGGCGCCTTAGACGGCTGGGCCACCCCTGTCCCCGTCAGATGAAAGAACTGCTGTTGAGATTGGCGTCTGTGACCACATTCTTCTTCTTTTTGTTGGTCACATAATCCTGTATTTGAGTATTCTATACCTTGACGAGTCATTAATCCATGCACATGGACAGAAAAACATATGAAATTGTCTTCTTTAAATAATGCTATCAGATCTGTGAGTGAGTGAGTATGGTTTTGCGCATCTTTTAGCTATATTCAAACAATTTCACCACGCAGGGACACCATAAATGGGCTTCACACATTGTACCCATGTGAGGAATCGAACCCGGGTCTTCGGCGTGACGGACGAACGCTTAAACCACAAGGCTACCCTATCGCCCCTTATCAGATCTGTAGACATTCATGTTATTATAGTGTGAGTGGAGAGCTGAGTTTATTGTCGCTTTTAACACTAATTCATTTATATCACGGCACGTGAGTCGGTGGAAACATTGAAATGATGCGATTCTAAAGAAATATAATGAGGGATTCTAGGATTCGAACCCACAATCAAAGGACGCAGCTCATTACACTGTTTCAAGTGGCTTATCCACATTTCCTTCCTGAGTATCACATAGACAATAGCTGTCTTAATAATACAGTAAACTACGGTTAAAACGAACTCAAAGGGACCACTGATTTTAGTTCGATATAACCGTAGTTCGTTTTAAGCATATATACAGCATATATACAGCAAATGACCGGGACCAAAAATATGTTCGGTATATCCATCAGTTCGTTATAAGCGTGTTCGTTATAAACGTAGTTTACTGTATCTCTACAGGTTTCGCCACTGGAGGACTTTTCGGTCACACAGGGGCAGGAACCAATGCTTTGTGCACTCATTCATCTCCACAGTTCGACAGAACCTTCTACAGAAACACGACCAACCACAACTACTTGTACGGAGCAGAGTATGAAGAGATCTGGAAAACAAGTCTTGCCGACCAAGATGCACCATGCGTTGTGTGCCGAAGTGTCACTCGAACAACCGCCATCTTGGTTCCCGGACGACACGAGTGCATGACAGGTTGGAACACAGAGTACTATGGTTTCTTGGTCGGCACGAAACACGATGATGCAGGGAACAGCGATTACATCTGTCTTGATTCAGATCCAGAGTCCATAGAAGGCGGGTATCAGGACCATAACGGCCATTGGTTGTTTAACGTTGTGTTCAGCTGTGGAGCCCTTCCGTGTCCTCCATACAAGAACAATTACTTTGTTCCCTGTGCTCTCTGCACAAAATAAAAGTTTGATAAACAAGTTACTGCAAGATAATACTGCAGAATAAAATTAATTCTGCCATGTATTTCTGCAGGAAAAAATAATTTTGACAGTTGTTTCTGCAGAAAAAACAATTCTGCCAGTTTTTTTCTGCAGAAAAAAAAAATCTGCCAGAATTTTCTGCAGTAATGCAATTTTAAGCCAATTTTTGAGCTTATGAACATGTGAACACACTTGGACACATTATTATTATTATATTATTGGATTCGTCTCCTCGAGATCTTTCCAGTGATATAAAATATGTTTTTGTAGCTCGCTTCCTTCTGTGTGGTCAAGTTCGGACCGCTGGCCATTCCGTAGTTGTCCCGACCTGCCTTAGGCAAGTTTATTTTATATTCTGCAAGGTGGCTTGTTGGGATGGTCTTCCTGTCACTGCTTCTAGACATGCTAAGGCGGTACCGGACACTATTTTCATGATATCTAGCATGTCAAGCAAACGAGGCAAATTTTGACGAATAACTATTTTTCAATATTTTCCCATTGTTTTTATAAGTCCCATTTCCCTACTCCTACATTATCAAATGTGAGGTTCAGGCAGATTTCGACACACAGTTACAGAGGTTTTATTGTCACCATTCAACGGAATTAGTGTCTTACCTACTCACAAGGTTTTAAAAATGAAGTAGAAAACACGATTTTTTCAATGTTTTTACTGAGAATTAGAGTAACAAATAAATTAAATAAATGTTTGACAAATTCAGATAACCGAACATAAAACCTATAACCAAAGACATAATTTGGATAGTTGAATGACTAAATAGAAATGTTACAGCCAATTTTGTCAAATTATGCATTTTCCCTTCAAATTATGCAATTTTGAGCCCCTGAAAATTCATGCACACATTTGCAAGTTTGCTACCCAATGGAAACTGTGAAAAGATACCTCCTTTATTCCAAAGAAAAGGTTTAAGGTATACAGGAAAATGTGGGAACGAAAATCTTGTTTTTCATCCTTGGCCAAGTGACTACTAAGGTGCTATTCCACTGTGACGTTACTCTGCAGTCTATACAGTGTAAATAACCAATATGTTGAAGAATTATGTTAAAGCTGTAGTCTAAACAAAAGCAACGGAAATAAAATTGTTTCAAATAATCAGAATGTCTATTATCTGTCATTACTAATCGTTTACTAAGTAAACCCGTGCTAGCCAGTTGCCGTGACCGGACCACCGAGTTCTGAATGTAGGGTGATAGCTCAGTTCAGAAACTGTTCATCTTATTATCATACCATCTTGAAGAATTTCTGCATACCGTATACACATCTCTGATACATGATTTGCTTGTGTGGGATGGTCCTGTCCATTAACCATACTTATTATGACTTGAGGAAAGCACGAATCTATTTGATCAATCACAGGACATGAGGCATATGCATCTGATTCATTCATTCCCACGGCATTACACAATGTAGACGTACAGTTCAAAATATGTATTAATGTATGTGGAGCAGAAGCTACTAACCCCATTAGAAATTACATGTAGTACCAAGCGCGAAGGGCCCCGTTCCACAAGTGATCGTAGCGCAACGACAGTCGTAAGTCTATGTTAAAATATGGGAGTTACAGTTTGGATGTATGTTGTTTTACGCCGCACTCAGCAATATTCCAGCTATATGACGGCGGTCTGTAGATAATCGAGTCTGGACCAGACAATCCAGTGATTGATATCTTGAGCATCGATCCACACAATTGAGATCGATGACATGCATTAACCAAGTCAGCGAGCCTGACCACCCGATCCCGTTGGTCGCCTCTTACGACAAGCATGGCCGCCTTTTCATGGGTTGCTGAAAACCTATTCTACCCCGGATCCCAACGGGTGATGAGAGTTACTATAACTTTAGAGCTACAATAGCTTTGTAGAACGGACCCAAGGAAGGTATGCTAGATGTATGAGGTCACTTAATGCATGCGGTGGGGTATGCTGTGTTGATTAAAAATAATTTGAATATCCTCTGGTAACATGTTGTTTTTATTTTATAATTTTATTTTACAATGAATAAACATTAGAAATAAGCCAGTTTGAAAAATATCTTGATTTTGAAAAATGCTTTTTTGACTGATGAATCAATATTTTTGGAAAATGTGCTTTTCAAATTACATCAAATGATGTGTGAAATTAAAATGTTTTGAGTTGAATTTTCATTTTTCTGTTTTGTGTCATATCAATACTGTAATATGTCTATTTAAAAACACTCATTTAATAATCAAACTTTAAAATGACCATTTTATTGGCAAAATGATTTTATCATCCGGTGCCTCTAGATGGCGCCACTTATTGAAAAAATGTCGTGGTGACTTGTTTTTTTTTATTGCGTAATTTGATTCAGGACATATTTTCCTACAAAATGATACCAACTATATACCCATTTCTTGAATTTGTTGTGTGTATGCAACCACTTTAAGGGGTGTCTCTCCGCAGAGAAACATCAACTAGGGGGATGTTTCCAGTGGGTACGAGTTCCTTGAGTTCAACTGAGGTCAGCATTCGCGATGTTCCTTCTGTCACCCCGAGAGCCTGGGCCACGGATGACGAGCGATGTCCAGTTCTTGCCTACAAGCGCTAAGCTGAACTTATACCAGAAGGGTTTACTTGGCCACCAATTCCAAAATGTCTCCTGTAGGACATCCTTGGTGACATTGTGCACAGTTACCAGGGAACAAACTTTCAGAAAGAAACACGATTGTTTTGTTCTCAAAATGAAGTCAAATGCTCAGAATTTAAAGTTATGATGTATTATGGGTTCACGTCCTTAGTAAAGTATTTATAGATGTACCGAGCATTAGTACGAGGTCATGATCAGGTGGTGTTTTAGCTTGTGTCTGTATTCATACGCGTGACCCAGTTCAAGCGACTTACCGTTTTCTGCACGTGTTCCACGAGTAAAAAATAAAATACTAAACTCGCTCCCGTGCCATGCCATGTTTATGATATCTGACTCGATTTCTTAATAATTAGGTGTTCATATTTCGCTAACCTCTTGGACATGACTATGTCGGAAAACACCTATGGCTAATATACAGAATACAGACAGATTACAATCAATCTAGTGAGTATGTGGGGTTTCACGCTCACTTTGGGGGTAATGACAACAACGTTACTCAGTCCCTTGACGTTACCACTTTGTTCAAACTTCGATTATGGGTATCTTTCCACAGAACAAGGGTCGTCTTCAAGGTGAGTCTCCTGGCACGGCTAAGCGACGCAACTCAACCACTCATTCTCGACGTCAGATAACGTGGACACCTTGGGTCAATGCTGTTGAGGGCAATGTTCGAGTAAATCTTCATTCCTTTGAGGGGCGGTCGGGTTAAAGCGTTCGCTCGTCACGCCGAAGTCCTAGGTTCTAATCCCGACATGGGTACAATGTGCGAAGCCCATTTCTGGTGTCCCCCGCCGTGATATTGCTGGCATATTGCTAAAAGCGACGTAAAACCAAACTCACTCACTCACTTAGATATAATGGATCCGAGGCCTATTATGTTGAAGGTATGGATAGTTACGAGGATATTCTCCACCTTAAAATACATAGTTCTACACTTTGACCAAATAAGCTAGTATGATTTGAGCAGAGACTATAAAATCCCTTCTCGAAATTTAGGTTTCGCTAACCCCTGGGACATGACAGCGTCGGAAAACACCTGTGGCTAAAGATGTACTGAATTCTATAATCGTACTATGTTTTGAAATCATTTACAGTAAACTACGGTTATAACGAACTCAAAGGGACTACTAATTTTAGTTCGTTATAACCGTAATTCGTTATAAGCATATATACAGCATAACTACAGCATATAGTCGGGACTAAAAAGTTAGTTCGTTATATCCGTTAGTTCGTTATAAGCGTGTTCGTTATAACCGTAGTTTACTGTACTTGAGTGTCCAAATAAAACAACAGTTTACTGCGAAGTGTAAATTCATTGAAATTAAGAATATATGACGTTGACAACAACAACAACAACAACTATCCATTCCTGAATATAATGGAGCGTTCCTACAACAGCAGGACGTCGCAGATGTGTGTAGGGCACATTGTTTCGGTGTTCTGTATACATACACGTGTGATAGGATGAATGCATATGTGTTTTGGACAGACCAACATACATCAGCGACAGGGCCGGGGGATGATATTTCTTTCAGCGGTGTGGGGCATTCGTGTCACAGTATTTACAAACAATACAGTGATATCACTGAAGGAGGCACCGTGGAAGTGAAAGGTACGGCTGTGAGTGGTAACATGGAGAGCAAGGAGGTTCCTGCAGAAAGGCGTGACCTGTTACCAACATGATGAAAGACAAGATGGGATAAGATATGATACTGATGTGAACGTTTATGCAAAGAATCACCTGGGAACCAGAGATGACTACTGCAGATGTAATGTATGTGAGGAATTCAATGGAGAATTTAAAACGTCAACGCAAGAACATAACCACCCTCGATTATCCTCCGAAACAGATCCATTGGGCACAGTTGGCAATGCTACTACTACTACTACTACTACTACTACTGACCCGTGACTACTACTACTACTGACCCGTGAAGATCCGGGTTAGAATAGGTCTTCAGCAACCCATGACTGCCGTGAAAGGCGACTATGCTTGTCGTAAGAGGCGACTAACGGGATCGGGTGGTCAGGCTCACTGTCTTGGATTGTCTGGTCCAGACTTGCATATTTACAGACCGCCGTCATATTGCTGGAATATTGCTGAGTGCGGCGTTAAACAACAAACAAACAAACAAACAAACAAACAAACACACCGTGCATCAACTGCGCAGTCCCGACCTGTTTGGACCATGGAATACGCATGATGCACACAAACAGTCAAGGCTGTTCTCATCTACATTTGGTGTTCGTATACTTCATGATGGCGTGTTTGGTTAGATTTCTGACGTGCTTGCTCTTTTGCATCTTCAAGGTGGTGTCAACTGCATCTGTTCCCAGTGCAACTGAGATGAAGACATCTTTGCAGGACACGCAGGAGATGGCGGAGAACCTGACACAGCGCATGGATGCAATGTCTGCCATGTTCAGTGAAAACGTGAGACTGATGAACAGCGCTGAGATCCGGTTGCGTCACACCATGGATGTGGACGGAGGACTCGTGGACACCCAGACTAAGCTTGGTAGGTATAAATCATATATCTACATCACAACATTGTAGAGTGAGTGAGTGAGTTAAAATTTAACGTCGCATTGGCATTATTTCAGCCATATAGCGACTCACAACATTGTAGAGTGAGTGAGTTAAGATTTAACGTCGCATCAGCATTATTTCAGCCATATGGCGACTCACAACATTGTAGATGAAGATGAGAGAGACGAACAACTCCACCAAAGACTACTACTACTACAAGAGAGATGACTAACTTTCAAAAAGGTAACTTTCTTTTAATGTCGATCAGTATTCCAGCAGCTCCAGTCTTTGGTGTCTTCATTTTCATGGACAGTCGAGCATGTTCTTTCTGCGAAGAGTTGTTCAAAAGTTGTTTGATCTAGATTACAACATTCCTGTCCTCAGTGAAGGTATCAAAAGATTTTATTTAATGACTTGCCTTTGCATGTGTTTGTGACGGTGCCACCGGTAGGGTAGGATACGTTCACCTTTTAGCGAACACCTGGCATCATCATTATTTGATAATGATTCATAACACATACGTATGACATAGTCGGAATTGTACAATAAACTCTGTTGTGAGAGATTTCTTATGATCATGGAAATGGTTTTTGTCGAAGACTGACTATTCGTTTCCGTTAGTCGCATCTTACGACAAGCTTGAGTTTCTGAAGACCAATTCCAACAAGCATATACCTAATGTTGCATTATTGGTTTGTAGAACGTCGTGGTGGTGCCGTCTACACACGATGGGGGCATGACACGTGTCCGGGGGGATCCTATCTCGCTTACAGTGGTAAGAATTGTTGTATTTCTTCACATCTTTATCCTAAAGTTACTAACCATTTTACAGATGTAAGAATTGTCGTATTTCTAAACATGTTTATCCTCAAGTTACTAGCCATTTTACAGTTGTAAGAATTGTCACATTTCTTAACATCTTTATCCTCAAGTTACAAGCCATTTTACAGTTGTAAGAATTGTCGTATTTCTTTACATCTTTATCCTCAAGTTACTAGCCATTTTACAGTTGTAAGAATTGTCACATTTCAAATCATCTTTATCTTCAAGTTACAAGCCATTTTACAGTTGTAAGAATTGCCGTATTTCTTAACATGTTTATCCTCAAGTTACTATCCATTTTACAGTTGTAAGAATTGTCACATTTCTTAACATCATTATCCTCACGTTACCAGCCATTTTACAGTTCTCAGAATTGTCGTATTTCTAAAAATGTTTATCCTCAAGTTACTAGCCATTTTACAGTTGTAAGAATTGTCGTATTTCTTAACATGTTTATCCTCAAGTTACAAGCCATTTTACAGTTGTTAGAATTGCCGTATTTCTCAACATGGTTATCCTAAAGTTACAAGCCATTTTACAGTTGTAAGAATTGCCGTATTTCTTAACATGTTTATCCTCAAGTTACTATCCATTTTACAGTTGTAAGAATTGTCACATTTCTTAACATCATTATCCTCACGTTACCAGCCATTTTACAGTTCTCAGAATTGTCGTATTTCTAAAAATGTTTATCCTCAAGTTACTAGCCATTTTACAGTTCTAAGAATTGTCGTATTTCTTAACATGTTTATCCTCAAGTTACAAGCCATTTTACAGTTATAAGAATTGCCGTATTTCTCAACATGGTTATCCTAAAGTTACTATCCATTTTACAGTTGTAAGAATTGCCGTATTTCTTAACATGTTTATCCTAAAGTTACTAGCCATTTTACAGTTGTAAGAATTGCCGTATTTCTTAACATGTTTATCCTCAAGTTACTAGCCATTTTACAGTTCTAAGAATTGCCGTATTTCTCAACATGGTTATCCTAAAGTTACTATCCATTTTACAGTTGTAAGAATTGCCGTATTTCTTAACATGTTTATCCTAAAGTTACTAGCCATTTTACAGTTGTAAGAATTGCCGTATTTCTTAACATGTTTATCCTCAAGTTACTAGCCATTTTACAGTTATAAGAATTGCCGTATTTCTCAACATGGTTATCCTAAAGTTACTATCCATTTTACAGTTGTAAGAATTGCCGTATTTCTTAACATGTTTATCCTAAAGTTACTAGCCATTTTACAGTTGTAAGAATTGCCGTATTTCTTAACATGTTTATCCTCAAGTTACTAGCCATTTTACAGTTCTAAGAATTGCCGTATTCTCAACATGGTTATCCTAAAGTTACAAGCCATTTTACAGTTGTTAGAATTGCATTCCAAAAATATTCACCTTAAAGTAACTCACAAGTTTACAGTAGTAAAACTGGTATATTCTATCTCTCTTGTTACCCACCACTTGTTAGTATGTTACCGACCAGTTTCCAGTCTTGAAAGAATTGGCTTATTCGAACCTATCGTTTCTCACCATTTTACAACCGTAGAATTTAATTTATTTTTAAATCTTAATCTTAAAACTACTCACCATGTTAAGGATGAAACAATTTGTTTATTCTAAACATCATTATCTCAATAAAGTTACTAAACATTTTACAGTAGTGAGAAAGGGTTTATTCTAAGCATTTGGTTCTTATCTGCTAGGTGGATCACCGAACATGAAATATTGGAATGACATTTTCCTTGGGTATACATGTCTCATGAGACTCCTTATCCTCAATGAAAACAACCCATTGAAGCTGTTTGCGTTTTCTAAATACTAATATATCCATAAATGGTGCTTGATGTTTCATATTTCAAGTTAATGTTTGTTTGTTGGATCAATTGATTGTTTCCAAACGCACACGGACTATCTTCAAAATATGAAATACCGTATTCGACGTAATAAGCGCCCCGCTCTCATAAGCGCCCACGGCTATATTTGCTAATATATTGGCAAGTGAACAATCCCAATTAGCACCCCTTCCGATTGATCAATGTACACAAGACTTACATATTCGGGTATAATACGCACTCGTGTGTTATATACACCCTTAATTTTGGGCAATTAAATTCTGGAAAAATATATCTGTCATATATAAACATTTCAGGCTGTCAGCATAAACCACGAAATTTATCTTTCAACTCTGTTTTTCCACCAAAATAATATTCTAATAAGAGCCCCCTATTTCTTATTTTGAGAGCGCCCTGGGCGCTTATTACGTCGAATACGGTAGGTCATGTGTAATCTGCACCAGGTTGGTGGATTACATCAAGTAGCTTAAATACACAATAAGAAATATAATTAACATTTAATGTGGGGACGCGTTTTGAACGTCCCCTTGGCGGTTATGGCGGTTATTGGCGGTCTTCAAATCCCATTGCCCCATGCCTACCCGAAGAGTCATGATTGGCCATGGTTAGTTACAATGTGCGATCTGGCGCATTGTATATCATTACACCCCGACAGAGTGGTTTGTTACTTTGAACATCAGCTTCTGGGTTGTCACATTCAGACATGAGTACCAACAGGCAATTAGGATGAAACTGCACTATCCATTCCTTTACAAGACCCGTGAAGATCCGGGGTAGTATATGTCTTCAGCAACCCATGCTTGCCGTAAAAGGCGACTGTGCCTGTCGTAAGAGGCGACTTACGGGATCGGGTGGTCAGGCTCGCTGACTTGGTTGATGCATATCATCGTTTCCCAATTGCGTGGATCAATGCTCATGATGTCAATCACTGGATCGTCTGGTCCAGACTCGATTATTTACAGACCGCCATCTTATAGCTGGAATATTGCTGTGTGCGGCGTTAAACAACAGACAACAAAAAAAACATTCATTCCTTTAAAAGAATAACGTGTTTGTTTAGACTACGCTCGTTTGATCTAATGTGTTTCAGGTTTCACGGTTGGGGGGCATCATTCCCATGCTGGAGCGGGTTCTAATATCCTCTGCACTCACCCCGAGCCTCAGTTTGAAAAAACCTTCGCCAGAAACACGAGTTCATACAACTTCTTGTACGGAGCAGAGTATGAACAGATCTGGAGATCAGATCTCGCAGACCAGGACCCCCCATGCGCTGTGTGCAGAAGTGCCACTCGAACGTCTGCCATCTTGGTTCCTGGAAGACACGAGTGTATGGAAGGTTGGAACACAGAGTACTGGGGATTCCTTGTTGGTCCAAAACACGATGATGCTGGGAATTCTGAGTATATTTGCCTTGATTCAGACCCAAAGTCAATTGAAGGGGGGTACGCGAGCCATGACGGACGTTTGTTGTTCAATGTCGAGTACCAGTGTGGATCCCTGCCGTGTCCCCCATACAAAAACACGTACTTCGTCCCCTGCGCTCTCTGCACTAAGTGAAAGCAAATTCTTTCGATATTTTCATTTTATTTGATAGTCGTAAAATGGAAACAGCTGTAATGTGTATACTCCGTTGTTATAAAATCATGTGTATTTCCTATGTGGCGAGTCATTTTTGAATTGTGATATCAAAAGTGATACATGATGCTCTCTTCGTGAAAACGCGCTGCTGAAAAACCTTTATATCACCAATATGTGTTTTGTTTCGTAATTCTTGCAACGACACAATGTGAGCTGGGTAAGTGACACTGAAAAGAAGCCTTACATAATATATATAATCCACCATTTAACACACAGTAACAGGTCAATCATTTGTATCTAATTCAAAAATGCAAAATAAAATGTAACAATTTATCTCGAGTTTTCTATTAGGACATACGGATTCACTGGATCACATAATGCTACTGGTTTATAGCACAGTAATTCACAGTGAGTGAGTGAGTGAGTGAGTGAGTGAGTGAGTATGGTTTCACGCCACTTTCAGCAATATTCCTGTGGCGGTGGGGTACCCCTAGTGGTTAAAGCGTTTGCTCTTCGCGCCGAAACCCCGGGTTTTATTCCCCACATGGGTACAATGTGTGAAGCCCTGGGCCCCGTTCTACAAAGCGATCTTAGCGCTAAGGTGATCGTAACTCCCATACTTTAACATAGGCTTACGATTATCGTAGCGCTAAGATCGCTTTGTGCACGTGGAACGGGGTCCAGGTGTCCCCTTTGGTAATATTGCTGTAATATTGCCAAAAACGGCGTAAAACCATACTCACTCATTTCAGGAATATTCCAGCAATATCACGGCGGCTGACACCAGAAATGGGCTTCAGTGGCTGAATAAGTGATGCTTTGTTCCATAATGCTTTATATCGTGGACTACGACAGAACCACTTATTTAGGGCATCCGACCATTTTAGTTTTTCCTGACTATGTGTTGTTCTGATGGAGAACTATCACCGACGACCCAAGGGTTCACCTGTTCATTTAACCTCATGATTCGACGCTTTTGGAAATCCCGTCATCCTAATAGTGTTGACGGGAAGTTTTGTGCAGCACGGTTGCTGTGTGTACGGTAGGACATGCTTACATTTTCATCGACATAAACTTAGTGGTGATCTCTGAAACTTAGTGGTGAAACCAATATGATCACTGAAACTTAGTGGTGAAACCAATATGATCACTGAAACGTAGTAGTGAAAGCAATATGATCACTGAAACTTAGTAGTGAAACCAATATGATCACTGAAACTTAGTGGTGAAACCAATATGATCACTGAAACTTAGTAGTGAAACCAATATAATCACTGAAACTTAGTTGGTTTGGTTGGTTGGTTGGTTGTGTAACGCCGCACTCAGCAATATTCCAGCTATATGACGGCGGTCTGTTAATAATCGAGTCTGGACCAGACAATCCAGTGATTGATATCATGAGCATCGATCCACGTAATTGGGATCGATGACATGCATCAACCAAGTCAGCCAGCCTGACCACCCGATCCCGTTAGTCGCCTTTTACGGCAAGCATGGGTTGCTGAAGAACTATTCTACCCCGGATCTTCACGGGTCCTGAAACTTAGAGGTGAAACCAATATGATCATTGAAACTTAGTGGTGAAACCAATATGATCATTGAAACTTAGTGGTGAAACCAATATGATCACTGAAACTTAGTGGTGAAACCAATTTGATCACTGAAACTTAGTAGTGAAACCAATTTGATCACTGAAACTTAGTGGTGAAACCAATTTGATCATTGAAACTTAGTGGTGAAACCAATATGATCACTGAAACTTAGTGGTGAAACCAATTTGATCATTGAAACTTAATGATGAAACCAGGTGTTCCTGTTCTACCGGTTGCACCCGCCACACAATTAGCTCTGAAAATTAAGTGCTTGTTGCCTGACGCCGCACAGCAGTACCGAGTCTATACGATGGCGGCCAGAAAACAAGGCAAGCTAGTGACAGTGGATCAGACAATCCAGTGACAAGGTAGCGCGTTGATGATTTGACATTTTATGTTTATCTGTTAACTTGAAGTTCTTATTTAATTCCGCCACCCATTTAAAGTAAGGGGTGTACATGAAATCAGGCCCCTGATATAATTGCATGTTTCTGATCAAGAAAGATTTATCTCTTGGTTCAGTCACACTTCAGTAACCCATGCTTGCATTAAAAAGTGACTATGCTTGTCGTAAGAGTCGACTAACGGGATCGGGTGGTCAGGCTCGCTGACTTGGTTGATGCATGTCATCCCATCACAATTGCCTACATCGAGACCCGTGAAGATCCGGGATAGAATAGGTCTTCAGCAACCCATGCTTGCTGTAAAAGGCGACTATGCTTGTCGTACGAGGCGACTAACGGGATCGGGTGGTCAGGCTCGCTGACTTGGATTGTCTGGTCTAGACTCGATTATTTACAGACCACCGTCATATTGCTGGAATATTGCTGAGTGCGGCGTTAAACAACAAACAAACAAACAAACAAACCTTGCATCAACTGCGCAGTCCCTACTTGTTTGGACCATGGAATACGCGTACAAGGCGACTAACGGGATCGGGTGGTCAGGCTCGCTGACTTGGTTGATGCATGTCATCGAGCCAAATCGCGTGGATCGATGCTCATGATATTAATAACTGGAATGTCTGGTCCGAACTCGATTATTTACAGACAGCCGTCATATAGATGGAATATTGCTGAGTGCGGGGTAAAACAACAAAACAACCAAACCAACACTCATGCTAAATATTTTCTGGCAATTTGATGCTTTTATTGAGTGCAGATGAAATCTATGTAAAGGGAATCCCGAAGGAAAAAAGTATTCATTGGAGACGATTGCCCTTTCATGAAACAGACGGACATGGGTACGGTACTGACAGACTTAGGATCAAAATCGGGATTCGAACCCACGACCAACATATTTGTACCTACGAATTGTGCATTGGACCGCTTGCCTACCCTGACCTCAAGGAGGAGCCAAATATAGGATGTTTGTGCTATGAGAGAAAAAAATCAGGACCCATTTTAACATCGTAAGCTCAGTACTAGGCCAGCCTGTTGCATAGGTCTCTGGGAACCTATATTTGTCGTAAGAGACGAGCACCTGGATCTGTGACTTGGTTTATTGAGTGTCGTTTGCTGCTCAGAACCAGTCACTTCCCACTCGAAACCATCAATGTGTGATTTGCATCAAAAGTGTAAATATGAAATGTAGATGATGCAATGAATTTATTTAGACTGTCCAACGCATTGTCAGTGGATGCCCAGCTTTGGCACAAACAGAGTATGATGGATTGGCTCGCTCTTTACATCCTTCGCCATGCTAGTGGTTTTGACTCAGAGCTCCATCCTTGGTACGACCCTGAATATGTAGAGCGCGTCATGGAAAATGATATACTGGACAACAAAAGTTCCTGTGACACCACTTTTTTAGTTTATTTTTCAAACAAGTAAAGTTTGGTTTTCAATGTTGTTGTACATGAATGGAATCAAGTCACAAAAACGCAACTGCTACAGAAAAGCATGCATTCCATGCAAAAGTTGACTTTTGTGCAAGCCCCATGCATTTCATACCCAAGAATCGGTATAAAACATGTGCGTTAACGGGATTCCATATGCACTGTTAAGCATCGTGCTGACAACAACCAGTCAGAAAAACAACAAAATTACGCAATTATTCAACATTACGAAATGCCAAACCTGTCCGAAAATGAGCATCTGCGAGGCATTGGTATGCTTGAAGCAGGATCGTGTCAACGTGATGTTCCAAGACAATTTAACGTCCACAGAAACACCATTTGGTGTTTATGGCAACGTTGGCAACAGACGAATGCAGTCAGAGACCATCCTCTGGCCACGCGTAACCAGTAATCGACAAGACAACTGGATTCGAACAACACACCTACGAAATCTATTCCAGTCAGCAACAGTGACTGCAAGAAGCATCCCTGGCCTTCGACGAATATCTTCACAAACCGTACGTCGCCGCCTCAGATGTGCAGGGATTGTCGCCAGAAGAGCCGCCAGACGTCCCATTTTGACAGGAAACCACCGTCAAGCACGTCTACAAGCTCGATTCACTGACGAGTCTCGTTTTCTCCTCAGCCACAGCGATAGACGGATTCGAGTGTACCGACGTCGAGGTGAACGTTACGTCAATCATTGAGTCATGGAAGAAGATCGGTTCGGGGGCGGCAGCGTTATGGTATGGGGTGGGATGACAGCAAGACAGAGGACCCGTTTGCTGAAGGCAGTATGGCAAATTAAACCATTTGAACACTACAGGAGTCTTTTATCTGTTGCAAACCGAAATTGTTTCAGATTTGGTAAAAAACATAACTTTGCACTAAATCTTATTCAATGTCACAGGAACTTTTGTTGTTTAGTATATATTGTATGTATAACAATTGATAGTCACGACAACGCTGAAATACTACCTATGTGACTTCAATATTAACTAGGGGCGGTCGGGTAGCCTAGTGGTTAAAGCGTTCGCTCGTCACGCCGAAGACCCGGGTTCGATTCCCGACATGGGTACATTGTGTGAAGCCCATTTCTGCTGTCCCCCGCCGTGATATTGCTGGAATATTGCTAAAAGCGGCGTAAAACCATACTCACTCACTCACTCAATATTAACTAAATCAATGAACTCAATTTGGTCCGTTACGCCCAAGGGAATCTGTTTCGTGGAATAAAAAAGGACTGGCTATTCTCTGGCTTGGACTTGTTATAAACTGACGTCCAAAAGAAACTTTACCAGAGTTTGAAATCACTCTTGCTCAAAAACAACAAAACATACATGCATGAAGTAAAGTGTATTGAGAAGATCAATATATCAACATAATCAACACTGAAAATGACAATCAAACCGCGACCGAGAATGACGTCAGAGCCCCCCAAAGTTGGGTGTGGTACAAAACTCAAGCTTTTCAGAATCACATAAACAATCGCTCACGTTCAATAACAAGTCATTAGTAGCGTGTGTGACCACCAAATACCTCAATACACGCAAAAACTCTTCGACGCACAGAAAAAGTCAGTCATCTGATGAGGTCACTTGGGATTTGACGCCATTCTTCGTGGAGGGCCAAGATCAGTTCTTGCCGGTTGGCTGGAAGGTGGGGTCGTTGTGGAAGACGACGATCCATCAAGTCCCAGAGGTGTTCTATGGGGGACATGTCGGGTGAGCGTGCAGGCCACGGCAGGACGTTGACGTTGTTGGAAGTTAGTGACAATTCTGGCTGTATGGGCTCTAGCGTTGTCATGCTGATAAATGACACCACGTGGCTGCTGTTGGAGAAATGGTAGGACAACTGGACGAAGAATGTTATCCATGTAACGCTGAGCTGTCAAGTTTCCGTCAACGATGACCAACGGTGTCCTCTCCTGCCCACAGATCTCTCCCCACACCATGACACTCCCTCAACCATATGGTACGACCTCCTGCACGCAACACGCCGCCGCTCGTTCACTCCTTCGGCGGTAAACACGTTGTCTTCCATCAGCTCTAAACATACAGAATCGACTTTCGTCAGTGAAGACAACCCTCTGCCAGTCACGTTGTTGCCAGCGTTGTACAGTCCGGGCCCATCTCAATCGCATACGACGATGTTGCGCTGTCAATAGCTGTCCTCTGTATGGTCTAAAAGCCCTGATTCCATGAGGCCTGAGTCTCCTGGCCACTGTCTGTCGACTAACCCTGTGACCTATGGCATTTGTCGCCGATGACGTCACTGTCAGGAAGCGATTTCGAAGGTGCAAGGTACGCAAGTACCGGTCATTATGGGGCGTGGTCACCCTGGGTCTGCCTGTTCTTGGCCTGTCAGCGGTCCGCTCTGTCTGTCTGTAACGTTGCATCAAGTTTGTAACGGCAACACGGGAGCAACCGAAGGTTCGTGCAATATGGGCGTGGGTGGCTTCCATCTGTACCATACCCAAGGCTCGTTCACGTTGTTCGACTGTGAGTCGTGGCATTTCTTTTGTGGTTTTTTTATCACTGTGGATGTCTGACTTGCCGTTGCAATCGTTTTATACCCTTACCCGCACGTGCATTTGCAGTTGTCCGTGGTGCACGTGTTTTTCACTTTTTCGCGTGTTATCTCGCAAACATGTAACAGACATTTTCTGCATACACTATTGTTGTATTTAGGTTATGTGTTTTATATAGACTTCATCGAAAAATAATTTATAATTCGCTGAAATTTATATTTTCAGTTGGTAAAGTTTCTTTTGGACGTCAGTTTATATTTCAGAACAATGTGCGCATTGTGAAGTTCTTCTTCTGCTACTCTATCAAAACAAAAAAATGTTAAAGATTCAAATCGCAAGCCATACCCACCACTCTTCATTCGCCTGGTTAAACACTGTGTGCTTGGCGTACCAACCTTTATGCCATGGATAAATTCAATGGCTTCACATCACTGTGATGACCGATATTTCTATATTCATTTCGCACTGTAGGCCATCGGCCCATTGTACATTTAGATAGTCAGTCCACAATGGACATTAACGAGCTTCTAATATTCATGGCATGGAATATATATAATGAGAGGTTTTTCATGGTTTCAGCATGGCATGATGACAACAGTATGTTAAATTTATGTAATGTAGGATGGACATAACATTTTCCCGGAATATATTTGTTTCTAAGATTGTTATATGTTTTACAAATTAACAGAAAATGGAATTCGTTATCGATAAGACCAATGTTACAGGGCTCGAGGTTACAAAGTCTTTGGTTTCTTGGGACATTTTGATATCTCCCCACTTCAATATGAAGTGAATGTGAACTGCAACGATACCGGGAAAGCGCAGTACGACATTTATCAATATTGATATTTAGAAGATACACTGTGATGATGACAGCAGAAGAAACGCGTACGTATAAAGATACCAAAGATGGGTTTCGTAACCTTATTCACTCACAAAGACGTCATTGTAGACGTAAGTTATGTTGTATAAATGTTTAGAATCATGTTAAAAATATGAAACTTATCGTTTGACCTTTATTAGAATGATGAAAGAAAAAATCAGATAAGATACACATGTGATACCGACATAACCAGCCTGTGAATACATATACCGGATTTTCAAAATTACTTACAGCAGCATACAGCTAAGTGAAGATAATTACCAGCCGGAGATTCCGGGTTTCAAATACAGGTCCCCAGCAAACTATGCCCGTCGAACGAGGAGACGAACTTGGACCAGGCGATCAGATTCGGTGACTTCGTTTGATAACGTGTCATCGAACCCTGACAATGTGACGTTGCTCAGTATATCAATCATTGGTTTGTCTTGTCCAGACTACATCATTGACATGCTCCCATCATATCGCTGTGTGCGGCGTTAAACAACAACTTAGTGCTAAATATGGGATCAAATAAGTAATATTTCCAGCGACACACTATTGCAATCTCCATGATTGAGAATTGTTTTGCCCTGTGGTTTGAACATCAGTCTTCACATGTCTAAGACATGCAGTACTTTTCACATAGGCAATAGCCAGGGTGCCAGAGTTTTAGTTATTGCATTTCAGTGAAAACCATCATGGCTTTCATGACTTCAGTCGTTGTTGTCTTTCTCTTCTGTGAACAGGCACTGGGTGGCCCAACTGCTAAACAGATGAGAGGTATTTTACAAGAGACACAGGCGTTGACTTGGAACTTATCAAAGCGTATGGATGCAATGTCAGAAATGTTTGACGAGAGTTTGAAATTAATGAACAGTGCCGAAACACGAATGAGGCAGAGCCTGGGAGGAGGAGGAGGCGGAGGAGGAGGAGGCGGGGGAGGAGGGGAACATGCGAATATCACACATGCAAATGGTAGGTACGGATTTACATAAAAGACGGATTTACAGTCACCCGTGAAGATCCGGGCTAGAATTGACCTTCAGAAATCCATGCTTGTCGATAGAGATGACTAACGTTGATAGAAAGTTTACATTGCAATGTATTATGCAAAGGTATAAGCCCATATCCAAAGGTCGTTTTTATTGTTAATTTGTTGATTTCCGTAAAGCCTTTGATTCAGTGACTATCATGGATCTTCTTTGGTATGTCATGTTATCGAGTAATATTCATGGTTATAGTTTTAATATTTTAAGGGATATGAATGCAAAAACCAATGCGAGTGTTAAATTATCAAGATTTCAGAGTATTTTGACTCTCACAGCGGGGTACGTCAAGGTTGCATTTTAAGGCCGCTTCTCTTTTCATTATTTATTAATCAGCTGCATAATGACATCGATCAATGTGGCGATAAAAGTATATTTATTGGACCAGAGTTTTACGAAATATATCTATCATTATATGCAGATGATCTTTGTTTAATTGCTGATTCTGTCATCAGTTTGCTGAGAAAGATTAACAGTTTTGCTCAATTTTGCCCCAAATGTTGTTTAATCCTCAATTTTTATAAAACCGGAAGTGTTGTTTTTCAGAAATAGTGGGAAGTTAAGGAATCATGAATCCTGGTATTTTGGAGATAGAAGCTTAAACATGTCAGCATATGTTGGGTATAAATTGGGTATAAATTTTAAATGTACAATTGTTGCAGTTTCAGATGAATGTGGCAGAAATTAAATAATTGTTGAAATAACACATTTTTTCCTCCTAAGGAGTAGTAAAATACTGATTTAAGCTTTTAGAGCTGCCGGAGGATAGATACCCAAAAGAATATTATATAATGTTGTATAATTATGATCATGTTGGCAGGAAAACCTGTTTTTTATGTTAAAAATATTCTGTTTATATTTGGATTTGGATTTGGATTTGGATTTGTCTGGGAATCTCAGGGAGTAAAGCAGCTTTCTCAAACGAATTTCACACAAGGAAAATAGACTGTTATGTTATCTCGGCATGTATTCCAATATCAAGCATTCCTTTTGTATAAAACAATATCTCACGGCTCAGAATCACGTTATTACGATTAGGTGGATTACCTTTGCATAACAATACGGGAAGACCGGAAGGGGTCCCCAGACAATGTCGGTTTTGTGAAATATGTAGCAATAATATTGTTGAAGGTGAATTTCATTTTCTATATGAATGTCAAGTATATCACGACCTGCGCCATAAACACTTATAAATATACATGTGTACATTGATAAAAAAAAGTACTTTTTTGAAAAATCACATTGTGATAATCTGTCAACTCTAACTCACTGTTCTGACTACATTAGAGATTATAAACACATGATTAGCACGGTTGATCACTCCGTCCTTTAATGAATGTTGATTTCATTTTGTACCTGGTCGTAAGGCTTTATACGAAATAAATGTGACTTGGCATGGCATGGCATGGTATGGCATCGAATGGCACGGGGGCGAGTTTAGTATTTTATTTATTATTCATGGAACACTTGCAGAGGCGACTAACGGGATCGGGTGGTCAGGCTTGCTGACTTGGTTGATGCATGTCATCGATCCAATTTGCATGGGTAAGATGCGACTAATGGGATCGGATGGTCAGGCTCGCTGAGTTGGTTGATGCATGTCATCGTATCCCAATTGCGTAGATCGATGCTCATGATATCAATCACTGAATTGTCTGGCCCAGACTCGATTATTTATACAGACCGCCGTCATATAGCTTGAATATTGCTGAGTACGGCGTTAAACAACAAGCAGACAAACACGAACATTGGCTTCTGGCATGCATATGGGACGTAAAACTGCACAGCCAATTGCGGTGTTTTGGCGACTTGGCAATAACCTATTAGAAGTAAAACGAATTTGTTGTAGTGATCTGTTTTCCTTTAGGTCATCAAGGTGGCGCTGTGTTCACGCGGTGGGGACATGATGCTTGTCCAGTAGGAACGGAAGCTGCATACAGTGGTAAGTATTTTCAGGCCCGGGATAGAATTGGTCTAATCAACCCATGGTCGTAAGAGTGAGTGAGTTGGGTTTAACGCCGCTGTTAACAGTATTCCAGTTATATCGCGGCGTGTCAGCTTAATGTGGAAGGAAAGCCCGAAGTGATGCAGGTCTCAGACGTTTACCACTTTGGTGAAACCAACGAGCACGGGTATGGTGCTGACAAACCTAGAAACATAATTGGGGCGAACATGGACGCGAACCCACAATCATAGATTTCTTGCGTGTCCAAGGGACACAACTCTGTCCAGCGAATCGCGGCGCCTTAGGCGACTGGGCCACCCGTGCCCCCAGTAATCACTTCTGGCGTTCATGTTTTACATTGACGCTGGACCCGTGAAGATCCGGGGTAGAATAGGTCTTCAGCAACCCATGCTTGCTGTGAAAGGCGACTATGCTTGTCGTAAGAGGCGACTAACGGGATCGGGTGGTCAGGCTCGCTGACTTGGTTGATGCATGTCATCGATCCCAATTGCGTGGATCGCTCATGATGTTAATCACTGGATTGTCTGGTCCAGACTCGATTATTTACAGACCGCCGTCATATAGCTGGAATATTGCTGAGTGCGGCGTTAAACAATAACCAACCAACATCATTGACGCTGGAAAGGGTTCCGTCTCTTTGATTAAACAAATTCACCCACTGCCTTGATTTAACAACTCTGTCGATACTCACCGAATTATTATGTTTGAACATGTCTTTCCGTTGGACCGCCTCCGTGGTCTAGTGGTAGAGCGTCCGCCCGGAGAGCGGAAAGTCCGGGGTTCATCCCCGACCGCGTCATACCAAAAGACGTTAAAAGATGGTACTTGTTGTTACCCTGTCTGGCGCTCGGCACTAAGGGGCTAAAACAAGGACTGGTCGGCTAGGAGTCAGTATACTGTATCTGAGTGGGGTATTCATGTTAAACAGCGGCATGGTATCTCAGTGAGCTAGCACTATAAATCGGCATCCGTCCGGACTAGTACAAGCAGCCACACACACACACACGTGCATGCACGTCGCTATATAATTGCAATAATCTTGCGACGTTAAACCCCATTTCACCTCTTTCCGTTGCAGGGTTTGCGGTTGGAGGCCACTCTACACATAAAGGGTCGGGTTCAAACATGCTCTGTGCTCACTCAGAACCCCAGTTCGACAGAACATTTCAAAGAACAACAGGCAAATGCAACTATTTGTATGGGTCGGAATATGAACAAATATGGAGAACCGACCTTACCAATAAGGATACGCCATGTTCTGTGTGTGTCAGTCTCACGCGCTCCACCGCCATGTTGGTTCCTGGAAGACACGACTGTATGAAAGGGTGGCACACAGAGTACTGGGGATTCCTTGTTGGTCCAAAACACGGGGATGTAGGGAATGCTGAGTATATTTGCCTTGATTCAGAACCCACCGCAATAGAAGGTAGTTATCAGGACCATGGCGAACGCTTGTTGTTCAATGTGGAGTACCAGTGTGGGTCCTTGCCATGTCCGCCGTACAAAACGGGATACTTTGTTCCGTGTGCTTTATGCACAATTTAATAAGGTGTGTCCAAATTCATCATGGAATTGTTTGGAATGTGCCACACCTCAGCATAGAATACTGACACTTACATATTAAAAACACGTGGCCACATAATAATTAATCTGGGTTTATATTTCAAGGCTACAAGGGGGCACGGGTGGCCCAGTCGTTTAAGGCGCCGCGATTCGCTGTGCAGAGTTACGTCCCCTGGACACGCCAGAAACCAATGGTTGTGGGTTCGAATCCCGGTTCACCCCGATTATGTTTCTAGGTTTGTCAGCACCATACCTGTGCTCGTGGGTTTCACCGAAGTGGTAAACGTCTAAGACCTGCATCACTTCGGGCTTTCCTCCAACATTAAGCTGACACGCCGTGATATAACTGGAATAATGTTAAAAGCGGCGTTAAACCCAACTCACTCACTCACTCACTCAAGGCTACAAGAGCACCATGAGGTCCCGTTCGTTGGGACAACCGGTGTCAATATCGTTATTTTCAATGATCTAAATACCACTGTGTATCTCACCAGTGTAGGTACCACTCTCTAATAAAGGCTGCTTATTCTTAGCTTTGTGCTCTGTGACACCATGTTTGATTACCTTTTTATCTGTTCGTGGTTTGCTTTCTTCAGGAGTGAGTGAGTGAGTTTGGTTTTACGCCGCTTTTAGCAATATTCCAGCAATATCACGGCGGGGGACACCAGAAATGGGCTTCACACATTGTACCCATGTCGGGAATCGAACCCGGGTCTTCGGCGTGACGAGCGAACGCTTTAACCACTAGGCTACCCGACCGCCCGCTTTCTTCAGGAAGGGGCTAAAGGTAATTATTATTATTCTCAGCTCCTAGGAAGCACTTTATCTATGAGAATAATATAATTTTGCAAAACGTTTGCAACATAATCGTCTACGGCTTTAGTTAAAAGCAGCTCACAATGCCTCAGGCGGACTTGAATCTACTTTCATATACTTACTATCGCTGACTTTCACAACTTCCCGAGGCACGGGTGTTAACTGAAAAGTCCAGTTTCCACCCTTGCCGAACTAGGCTGGAATTCCTGGGCTCGATCGTAGCGCCACCAGTGGCTGTTACGAGTAAAGTCCCTTCTGTGCCTCTCCTATGGACCAATCAAATTCCAGCTCTCGTATCACTTGCATTTGTTTCAAACAAAATGGCGGTGCCCAGTCAAGACAATCTGATCGATAATCAAGATTGTGATAAAACGGGTCTTACATCGCGAAGTGTATCAAATCACGTGAGCACCTTGATTAAAAACTTGAAAAGATTGGGAAAATATCTGTTGCTCGTGGTGGCGGTGCACATGCTGTGCAAATCTCACAATCGACTGAAATCTTCACGACAGTTTACGAACCGAATTTCGATTTCGGTGCGCGATTTTGATTGGACTATGCATAGACTCGTTAGTCCAGCCAAAATATAACTCCATAATACCAGCCTAGTTCGGCAAGGGTGGAAACTGGACTTTTATAGTCAGTTAACTCTCTTGCCTCGGGAAGATGTGACTTTCATGGCTATTTGACTCCTAGATATAGCTGTTAAAGTTAGTGTAAAACGGCACGACACTCTTGCCCCATCCGGACATACGCTCAGAGTTCATTCATCGGATAGTTAAAAATTACAAATGCCCAAACTGTCACAAGGTGAAAAGTATCCCAATGGCGTGTATTAAACAATAAACAAACAAACACAAGGAAAAGGAAGGGATGATACATCCAGAATGAAGTTTTTTTGGTTGTTGTTTAACGCCGGACTCAGCAATATTCCAGCGATATGACGGCGGTCTATAAGTAGTAGCGTATGGACCAGACAAGCCAGTGACTGAAATCATGGGCATCGATCCATGAAACTGGAAAACGATGACATGCATCAACCATTTCAGCGAGGCTAATGACCCGATCCGGTTAGTCGCCTCTTACGACAAGCATAGTTGCCTTTTACAGCAAGCATGGGTTGCTGAAGACCTATTCTACCCGGGATCTTCACGGGTCACAATGCCTCTGGGGGACTTGAATCTGCTTACATATACTTACTATCGGTGACTTTCATGGCTATAAGTCATTGCTGAGTATTTTTCAATATTGGCTGGTTGGTTGGTTGGTTTTTTAAACGCACTCCAGCTATATGATGGCTATTGGCTAGTATATTTTTTGTGCACAACCACCAGTAGCTAAAGAGATGACGTAAATCCAGCTGGTGTATCATGCAGGAAACAAGCACCGTAAGTCCCCATGATCCCCAGCGAGGTGGCCCAGCTTTGGTAACTGGTGGTCTATTGCCCGTGTTTTACACTGTATAGATGCAAATATGTCTGATACAATTTGTTTTTAGATATAACTTTGCATTCATGAGTCACTGGTGAATATATCAACTTGGTCTCATCGCTATATGGCTGAAATAATGCCGATGCGACGTTATATTTTAACTCAATCACTCACATAAACAACAAAACCAAATAAGAAAGTACTTATTAAAGAAGTAGGCCTTCCCATTGGCACCATCTTGCGGATCCGTTTCTTTATGCATACGAATCGGAATTTCCCTTCGGAAAGACAAAACAAGGTAATTTGGCTATGAAGTTTAACTTAAGCTTCAGGTATATCGATGATCTGATATCGTTCAATACCCATCAAATAGCCAATTCCCTTCCACTGACTTACCCACAAGAACTAGAAATAATCGAGACCAGTGAGAACGCCTCAGCTGTTTCATATTCAGAGCTATGCATAAAGATTCAGAGTGACAAAACACTCTCCACTAGACCTATGACTTCAACTAGGGATGGCTTCATCTTTCCCTGCATGTCGAGCAATATTCCAGCAGTTCCCTGGTGTTTACATCCCACAACTTTTGAGATACAATCGAACATGCTCTTTCTACCAACATTTTAAAGAGCGCAAAACGTTTTTAATCAGAAATTGATCAAGGTTACAACATTCAAGGACTCAGTAAAGCTTTTAAAAAGTTTTATGGTATACATGTGTTCCCGTGTTTTTTTTCAAGTGAACAATCGACTTGCCTTTGCATGTGATTGTGACGGGTGCCAAGTGCATTTGAAATACTTTGATTGATGGCTTCAACAAATGCGAGTTTGTCACCAAAACGTTTCACTTATCGATAAGTAAACGAGGTGAATATACAAGAGAATATTATAGTATAAACTGATGTCGGCAATATTCCGACGAAAATAGTACCAGTGGCACTAGTTGACACTATTGTGAGTCAGTTAGTTTGGCAAAGGTTAGTGAGAGGCCATGAAAGACGTTTACTTACTTTTCTTGTTGTGAACTCGACCGCTTCCCAAATGGGGTCCCGGCTCTCTGATTGGGTGGAGCTTTTCGGGTCCTGCGACTTCCCGGGCATGGGCTGCGGCCCTCGGGAAACTTCAGCTGTACTGGAGGACATGGCCGACCACCAAACCCTCCATTTACAGGAACCCGACGTCTTCTGGGACCTTCGAATGGATAGGACCCTATTTTCTTCCCTGGCGAAGATCCGGGATCTTCATGAGTTAAGAAGTTTTCTCTTCCATGTGGATGTCCACCTTTGACTCCCAAGGCTCTCTGGGACCCGTTAGACGCTTCTTAGAGAACTGTGGACGCCTGTCAGATTTCTATGCTCAATCTCGGCCCTCCGGCCAAGGTCACCTTCTATACTTTCTTGGGGCTGGGTAAATATACCGGGCCAACCAATTTCCTTCTTGATGCCCGATAAATTTACCTGGTCTGTTAGTCTTCTCCTTGATGCCTTGATGTTTTTCAGGATCGACCGCAGCCCCTCCCATTGTCACATGTCAAACCCCTATGCCATGGCATTTATGCTGAAATAGGTTTGCGGGAAATCTGCAAGCCAAGCAGCTACATCCGCAGCTTTCCCGGTAAAACAATGGAGGTGCTCCACCTGAGTAGGTGGTTGCACCGCTCTCACGATTCTCAGAGCATGTCCATGTACGTCTGACCCATATGGGTCATCCCTGCCTCCCCTGAGGTGGAGCATAACAATCTGGTCCGTTGTAGGAAACTTCAACACTTTCTGGAGGACCTCCTCTTGTCGTCCCCAAGTGTGGGATTGGGTGGTCCGATCCAATCCCACCTCCCCCAGGGCCCGGACATTCGGGGAAGAGGACAGTTTTTCTAGGTACCTCCCTGGGCACGGAGATGACTCAGGAGATCTTCCACGCTGAGTCCGTGGCGCCACCCCCAGAGATCCTAACAAGTCCAGTCCAGGTGAAAATGGACATTGATTGCTCCCGAGAAGATTGGGGTCTCTTCTTCCGAAGCTACGCTCACCCCAGAACTGGGGGAAAGCTAACCATGGTAACAACCCGGTCCGCAGAAGCTTCCTCCTTGGCCTTGTTTCTCCCCTGTTCATGGAGGCTAAACTTCTGGGTACTGATATTGGCATGATCCATCAAATCCCCCAAAGTGGCTTCTGGATTAATCAGTGTCTTGGCCAAGTGCTGCAATGCCCGGACTCGGTCCTGGGCCTCCTCCCGGGTTAAGGCATGTCTCCCCTCCATGAAAAACAGAGGCGAGTGGGCCATCCGGACATGTTGTTTGAGTTTTCGTGACCTCACGCCACATCCCGGCAATGGACATGCAGATGTCCGATGCCTGGTCACCCGCCGGGAACGCTGGGCAACTGCAGGGTGGTTGGGCCAGCGGTGGTCCTTTCCCGGATGACTCGTCTTTTGAACTGGGTCCTCTTGCAGCTGAGGGTCCCATTTCGCCGTCCGACGATGAGAGGGGGAGTGCCGATGGGCGGAAGACTGCCTCCTGACGGGAGACCGTCGCCTTGAGGGTGACCATCTCCTTATCACTTGGCGACCTCCTACTTCCGCGCCTGCCGGAATGTATACTGTCAATGGCTGTTCCCTCCGCTGGGCCTTGTGGCTTGCCTCTTGGGAATCCTGGGAAGAGCTTGTTCTATCCCTTTTCCGGGAGGCCATCTCCTCCACATTTGCCATGGTGGCACCACTCCCTCGGGGGAATCATCTGTGGTGGCCTCGAAAAGTCCACTAGGGGCCCCCTTGATGTTGTGGTCCTAGGTGGGTCCATCAGAACATCCTGGCCTGGGCACCTCTCCGGGACCTGCGCGCCATGGAGTAAAATATCGATGATGGTGACAGGCTCTTTCTCCTCATAGTAGCCCATCAACCCCTAATCTTCGCTGCTTGACATTTCAAATTCTGTTGATAGATTTTAGCTGTTTCCCCTGTGAATATTGGCTGCAAGATAAGACATCATGGTTAC